CTTGGATACTTGCTAGGTGAATGCTTTGTTTCAAGTACAGGCGATGGATATTTATATTAGTTTTGAAATGTTTTTTTCTTTTCCGTAAGACAACTCTCAACAAAGAAGATGGGAATAAAGAATATAAAGAAGTATTGTTTGAAGGCATCTTTTTTCACTGGGCCTTGAGCATTTCTGAAGAACAGTCTTCTGGATATTTGCCAATACTGATGGCATTGTAGCCAACACATCTGGAGAGGACCAGATTGGGGGTTGCTGTAGAATGACTAGACAGACAAGGGTCTTGTTCCTGTTTGTTCAGGGCTCGCTTTCTGAAGGACTAGAGTACTGACGATAGAGGAGTGGAGGCCCACCCGGGTACCTTCCCATTTTCTCACTCAATGCATTCACACGGAAGAGTCTCAAAAGCAGTTTATGTAGCTTGCATGAAACCCACCTACGTATGACGAATATGCTTGGAAGTTAAAGGGCACAATGAGGTCTCCAGTGGAGTGCGCTCTGCCATTTTGGTGAGAGAAAGGAAGGTCATTCCCTCTTTCTTGCCCTTACCTCTCCCTCAGCTTGACATGGCTATTACTGTGGAAAAGATCCTTGATGGGAAAACATTTGATGAAAATAATTATGCTCCAACTTGGGGTGAGGCTGGGAGGAGAATAAACACTCTCAAGTGGAAAAACAGGAGAACAAATAACAGATAATCAAGAATCTCTTCTAATTTTTTAAACGATTTTTCTTGTCACCCTAGCGACATTGCTTGCAGTAGCCATGGAAACGCAAGCCATTGGTGGGGTTGGGGTGGGTGAGCATCACACGGAAAATGAGAGAGACAGTAGAAGCATCTTGGGTTATTTTAGGAGGCAGGGAGACACCTGGAGTGAGGCTTTTCAAGCTTATTTTGCAGCAAAAGAAGGAGGTGGGGGAATGAGAAGGTTTATTTTTAATTGTTCCCACTTCATGTGCCAACTTTTTCTTTTTCAGTTATTCCAAATTTGGAAGCCTCTTCCCCCTTCTTTCAAGCCTTTCCTCACCCACACCCTCCCTCAGCCATTTTGATGGCACATGGATATCACATTTGGAGCATTTCCATTGCTCATTCTTCTGTTATACCCTCCCACCACTGTTGCATAAGGTTTTGGCCGGGTGAAAATGACAGTGAAGGGGAGCTTTTCTTAGGTTCCGTTTGCATGGTAGCTTTGAAGGAAAATAGACATCCCTTCATCTCAGACTGGTTCATTGCCAATCCAAACTGCAGACAGCAGTTGCAGAAGTAGACACAATACTTGGTTACAAACACCACCCCCCCACCCCCCGGTAGAAATTCTTTTGCATGTGTAACAGAAGTTCAATAAGCAAAGCTTTATCTGGCTGGAAGGTGTGTGTCATTTGTTGAATATCTGTTTGTCAGAGGACTGTTCTTACAGCAAGCCAAGGACTGAGTGTCCCAGTGAAGTGGGACTTAGCTGATAGTGGAACGAAAACCAGAAACTCAGAGAAACAATGGGTAGTGTTAAGACCAGCCTGGTCAACTAAAAGAGCAGCCAAAGATTAACTAGGACAACCAGGGAATACATTTTGTATCGCCTCGAATAGGGCTGCACAACCTGAGGCCTAGGGACCAAATTGGCCCTCTAGGGATCCCAGATGCCACCCTTCTCACAACCATGTCTCATTTGGAAGTTTCCTGGCTTTTATTCAGTTTTTCCCATTCTGAAAAGGTTGAACTGCTCTCCCAAGTTTTAGTTACTGGCAGAAAGAGCTTTAAACTAAACTATGCTGGTTCTTTTGGCCTTTCCCCTTTTGTCTTCCTACCCACTCACCTCCAGAATGTAGCCCTTAAAAGTTTCTCTGAAATGGAATTCAGCCCCCAGATTAAAAATGTTTGCATGCCTTGACCTTGAATGTTTCTCCATTACCTGTGGATCCCATGGTTAGCTTACTCTTCAGGTTTCCATACTGTGATGGGTTCTGCTCTCAGGTCAGTCCTCAGCATTGTATATAAGTGCTTCTATACTAGACAGCTCCAGACAAACAATGGAAGTGAAAAGATAGAATAACTGTGGGCCATGAAAATTTCTGATGAAGGCTAGAGACAGTAATAAATAAACGGACCACCGTAGCCCTCTTGTGAGCCTATACAGCACTGCTTGTGTCAGTTAATCATAAAGGAATAAAACAAAAGGAACAAAAGAAGCCACTCATTAAGTACAGTGTTTGTGAAATCAAAAGGTGCAATTACAAAGCACCAGAATCTGAGCATTTCAAGGGCTCATGTTTTCTGGGAAGAAGAACACACGGAGCTGTAGTTCAGTGGCACAGCATATGCTTCGGGTGCAGAAAGACCTGGGTGTCAATACCTGTGTTTTCAGTGAGGATAAAGTTGAACCTCGTATAAAGCAAGGCAGCTTCCTTTGTTCTTCTGGTCACATGGCACAAGATTTAATATCTCAGGTCAGTGCTAGGGAAGGAAGTAAACACTAGAACATTTCATATATAACCAATATCCCAGTTAGGGTATGAAGCCGTACACTCATTCCCTGAGAGCTCTAGCCTGGAGACCTCTAGCTTTCATTCAAAACACAAAAACACTATTTGGACATTTGCCGTGACTTGCTAAATGAGTGCCTGACGACCCTGGAAAGGAACACAACTTCCCCATATTTAGGACTGGGATTTTTTTGCTACATTTCCCCTTCAGCTCCCAAATTTGTGTATGTTCTTGACTGCTTCCATGGTTTCAGCACTTTCAGCAGGAACTGTGGTTGTGTCATACTCCTTTACATGCATTTGTGCTCTTGGAAAGCTGTACAGGTGAGAGGAAGAATATTTGTACAGCTGGAGAAATAGGGAAGTACGGGAGCCCTAAAAAAGGACTTATTCTGAAATGCTGCTCAGAGGGGCCCCTTGACCATCACAGGCAAACACAATTTGTGTTGTTGTGAGACTTGGGGCCTAGCTCATCTTAGAGCATTAATAGGACATCTCCCCTAGTCCAAAGTCATGATAAGAGTTTCTCTGGTTAGAGCTCTTATAAGAGATCCAAAGTTTTGCTAGGTCTGTTCTAGAATGTTCCATATGTTGTAATATAGATAAATACTGAAAGTAAAGTATGAGTCTGACATTCCAACCAAATAAGGACAGTTCATTTTTTAATTATTTTTTGCCTTCAGTCTAATGTGAAGGGAAACCAAAAGCTCTCACTCACATTTCACACACTACAGATTACATCCTGCAGCATTTTCTGGAGAAAAAGCAGTGCAGCAGGGAGGAAGAAGAGATTAAAGACAGTACCAAGTGGGAGGGCAACAGTAAGGGTCATTTTTCCCAAAGCACAGAGAAATAGGAAAGCATTTCCCATCCTGTCAAATGCAATTTAGCGCAGAAGACAACACAATTTAAACCCTGCACTAAAAGGACACTAAGACCCTTCATTATAGGCTCACTTTTCTTTTTCATTCTTTCTTGACAGTGTGACACTCATTGCTTTGTTTCTCATTCCCTGCTCTTTTTATTCAGAAAAAAGGCACCCCTCTTGCAGCTGCCTGCAAACACGGAGGTATAACAATATACTCGGGCACTTATGATTGGGGGCAGGGAGAATAAGGATTGTGTGGACAGAGCAGGATGCAACTGAAAGCAAGTTGGAGAAAACACTACCAACTACGGACCTGTTAATGAAAGTGTACAAATGTGGATGAATGTATACAGGTACAGGTACAGGTATATGTGCACATCACACACTGAGGGAGAGAGAGTGTGGTGTAGGATTCGACAGGAACTGAGAAACCCTGCTTCATATCCTGCGGCACTATGAAGCTCAGGCAATGGTTTGGACAGTTACTATTCTCAGCCAAGCCTACCTCACTGGGCTGTTGTGAGGATAAAATTGAGGTGAGGGGAAATTTTGTGTGTGTGTGTGTGTGTGTGGAGAGAGAGAGAGAATTCACAATGAGTACAATATACCTTGTTTTTATTTTCAGCCTAGCACTACTGTGGAGGGTCACAGTAACATGGTAATTGAAAGCCCAAGCTGGGCCAATGTCCTGGGAAGTCTGTTTGCACTTAGGACCCTAAAAGTAAGGGTGATCTTGCTTTAAAAGTTGTTCCTGAGATTCCAGGTACTCAGGGTCATGGGAAAGTGTGTGCCAGGAACTGGCATTTTGAAGGTTTATTGAAAGGGCTCCCCAAGGTTTCCTGACAGGGACATCTGTATATGATCCTATGTTTTTGTCATTTTGAAGAACAGAGCAGAGCAGAAGGTGGGTAGGTAAAAGGACAAAAAAGCAGTGACAACCTGAAATGGTTCACAACTGCGGCAAAGGACATCCACCCAGTGCCAGCTGTCCTAAAATACCACTTTGTACCAAAGGGATTTTTGTTGCTACTGCCAAGCCAGTTACTGGGCAGCTCCCAGTAGCCATGATGTAGTTGGTCACCCAGCTTTGGATAACATGGCAACCCATCATGGATACAATATTCCATGGGTTGTCGATGTAGTTTTTTGTCCTTGAACAAGCCACTCTGTAGGAATTGGTGCAGGTTCACATGACATGACAACCCACCATGGCTTTTCAGCCATTATGTCATTTCTTTCCCAAAGAGACTTGAGTGGGGGTGGGGATGTCCTCTGGATGGGCAGAAATGCTTCCTAACTACAAAAATAGCATATGAGAAAAGCCACTTAAAAGGAAGGAAAGGAAGACAGCAACCTAGATCCCCCTGCTTCCTTTGCAGTGGAGGCCAAACTGATCTACAATGCATACACCACAAATAGGGGAAATAGCTCTGCTTTGGACCCTGAGGAGAAAAATATATTATCTAATTGGCCTTTTCACATCTCTGAAATTTGCAGCAATTCAATTCCCCCTCCCCTCCGGAATTTGCCAAGTTATGTCTGCCTTCTCGGTCTTTTCCCCTTTAAGGACATTCTGAGCTGTAATTTGAGAAGGTGTAAGGATGCAGGAGAAAGTTTAACTCAGCCGAGCTGCACCCTCCTCCTCTCTTCCTCCACCCTCCCAAACAAGCAGCGTCCACGCCACGTCACCCTGTGTCTGAACTGGGACTGCAAAACTTACTTAGACTGCATTAGGAGAGGCACTAACCTAAAGACTTCTCACAGAAGAAGTGCACAAGTAGAATAAAAAGTTTCTTTGGATTAAACAGAGACCAGCTCCAGTGCAACAAAGGTTTGAATTGCAAAGCTCAATGAAGAATATTGCTGAAGTTTTCTGATTAAGACAGCCATTGTGGATGCAATTCCACCAGGAGCGGAGAAGCTATTTCTTACCTACAGGAAAAGAAAATTTAATGGAAGAGGATCATTTAGCAAGCTGTTGAAGAACGAGAAATATCCTTATACAAGTTTTGCATTGGGAACCAGGAAGAAAAATTAAGGAAACTTCTTCAGGCATCTTCTTTTTCAAAATAAATTAACTGATTTTCATTCAGACCTCCCTGGGACATTCTTAGGCCATCATGAATGTATTCCGGATTCTGGGAGATGTTTCTCATCTCTTAGCTATGGTCATATTGCTGGTGAAGATCTGGAGATCAAAGTCTTGTGCTGGTAAGTTTTGTTCTCTTTCCCCACCTTCCCTCTGAGAAAGTGCTGATATAAAAACAGCACCCAAGGAAAAAAGGGGGAGCAGATAAAGCTATGAAGTGACTTGCTACAGGAGCACAAACAAATACTTAAGACTTGGACTTTGCTTTAGCCACATCCTAGATAGCCAACTAAGAAACCAGGTGTCAATAGCTTAGTAGGACAATATGGCACAACTGAATTTATAACTCGCTGGAATCAATGTGTCTTCTTTTGGTCCCATCTTAGATAGAATAGTCTCTTCATTGTTGTGATAGGATAGTCTTAGATAAGGCCCTTTCCCTTTCCTATGACATTTGTATGGGGTAAGGATGCTCCTACACTGATTCTTTATGCAAATTGCATGTTTCTGTATTGCCAATCCCACCTGTTAAAATGTCCACAGCCTAGTCACCAAAATTCCCTGCAAACTGAAATTTGAGGTGACCAGTGCGTTCTGTTCCTTAAGCACACATTTTGCAAAGTAATCACTTTCTTGGGATCTGGAAAGACCAAGACACCTTCTGCATTTTAAGTGGAGTAAAGATTTTTTTCTCTTGGAGAGGCAAGGAATACTTTCTGTCAGGGATTCAAAAGAGCAATGGAAATTTGGTATACCTCAAGCCCTGCCCAAGCCATTTTGCTGCTTGAAACAAAAGACCAGGTAGTGTTTCCCCCTCCTCCCAATTCAAGCGAAGAAGCCATGAGGACTGGCAACTCAATCTTCCTTCAACAGTGACAATGGGGCAGTGCCCTCCACTAAACCTAAGGATACTTGGTTAGCTTAGAGAATGCAGAGGTGCCAGTCAAGCATACACACAACTGTCCTCCTGACCCATCTCTATTTATGCAGACTCCACTGAATACCAATGATTCGATTGTGAGCAAACTTTATTGACTAAAGTGGGACTTACTTTGGAGAAAACATATATAAGATTAGATTGTGTAGAACTGAAAGTGTCCTGCAAGCAGACAGATATGGGTGATGTGCATAAAATGGGGAAAAACAGAAGTGCCTTTGAGGAAGGGCATATCATAAGGCACCTATATTGGGGGGGGGTGGTAATTTGTTTTTTGAGATATTAAAGGGTAACCCTATTAAGGTTCTTAGTCATATTTTATCAATGTAAACTTGACTATGGTCTAGAGGAGGACTTTGAGCTTTTCCTACCCACCTCCTGCTGCTTTTAGAGCCCCAGACTGTATGCTCCATCTTTATTTTCTTGATTCTCTTCCATAGAAATATTTCCACGGCCTCTTTTTAAAATGTCTCCTCCTGGTTTCCTTCCTGCAAGCCCATCCCACTCCACCATACCAATTTTCCCCCTTTGTGGGTGGAATCAAGATGTGTTTAAAAGGAGTGGCGTTGTGATGTGGCAGTCATGATGGTACAAGCAAATCACGGTTGCTGAAGGGTGTGTGTGCATGTGTCCTCAAACAGTGATAACTGTGTAAAGTTTGCACTAGGAAGAGGACTTTATGTGCAGAATCGAGTTTCACTCTCCGTATAGAAGATAATGCCTAGGCAACCTGCTTCTCCATACAACCATGCTGAGACTGAGAGTATTTCCACATGAGGCTTTTATACTGCATTACCTTTGCCTCATTCAGTAAATTTTGCAAGAGATTACTTGGTTTAAACAATATCATTTTCCATGTGTAACCCCCACATGTTTTCCCACTGTTCCTACTTTTTTTTTGTTTTCTTTTTGGACAGGGGGCAAACTGCAGATAATCCATTAGGGAAAAAAAGAAGGAATAGCCATGCAATGGCTTCTGACTAATAGTGCTCAGAGCCCTTCATCTGAAAGGACTCTGAAAAACAAGAGATGTAGGGATATAACTGGTAGAAAATTACATGATGACGCAATGTGACTAAAGAAAGGAACAAAAACTCCATTTGATCTCTTCTGCTTGAAGAGGCTGTAACACTTGAACATTTGCAGCCACCAAAGAAATGACATCAAGTTATGTTCTATTTATTTTTAATAATAAAATTATTATTCTGCAATAAATTATTATAGAAAGCTCTTCTGTGTTGTAGCAAGTTGTTAAATTGATCAACTGATACTGTTCATTGGTCCAGGCTCTTTTGGATGAAGAGATCCAAATGAACAGTGTGAAACAGAGAAACAAAGTTAGACAGAGAATGAAAGATCACAACTAGAAACATGGATTGGGAGAGCATCAGCATGGAGATTGGCAGCAGAAAACATGAAGGGATGGGTAAATGGAAGAGAGTAGGAGCCAAAGTAAAAGCTCTGAGAAAGCATAAGAATGAGTCACCAATGCTGAGGGCACCTCCATGACAGAGGATAATATCTCAGAACCCTAAAGAAGGTCTAAGATGGAGATCTTGGTAGGTGGTTCAGCTTTCTGGGAAAGAGATTTTCACCCTGTTCTGGACAGAGTTGCACTCCCCGTAAGGGACAGGGTGCGTAGATTGGGAGTACTCCTCAACCCAGAGTTATCCTTGGAGTTCCAGGTGACTGCTGGCAAGGATTGCTTTCCAGCAGCTTCAGCAACATCAACTGCGCCCTTACTTGGATGAGCAGAGCCAAGCAACAGTGACCTATGAGCTGATAACCTCCTGATTGGACTATTGTAACACGCTCTACATAGAGCTGCCCTTGCAGATGGTCTGGATACTTCAGTTGGTCCAGAATGGAGCAGCCAGGCTTCTGATGGGGACCCGTAGGTGTGAGCATAAAACACCAGCTGTTTACCATCTGCACTGACTACCAATTGAAGTTTGGGCCCAATTTAAGCTGTTAGGGATGACCTATAAAGCCCTAAACAATTTAGGACCTAGTATCTAAAGGAGTATCTTCTTCCTTATGCACCTGCCTGCTCCCTAAGGTCCGTGTCAGAGGTGTTTCCTCGGGAGCCCTCATTGAAGAATAGCTGCCCGGAGAAGGGCCTTTTCTGTGGTGGTGCCCTGGCTTTGGAACATGTTCCTCAGAGAGGAGCACCTGGTGCTGATGTGTTATTCATATCGGCACCAGGCCAAAACCTTTTATTTTCCTGGTATGTTTAGATCTGATTGTGGTTTTAATATTGGGTTTTATTAGATTTTTTTCCTTAATGTATGTTGCCTTTTGTTATTTGTGTCCTGAGACCCCTGTAAAGGACGGGGTTAAAATGCTTGACAGACAGACAGAACAAACGAATGAACATGACAGGACTAAGACATTTTGCTGACTGAGGCAAACCAGCTAATGACTCCCCACTTCCAAAATGCCAGGGGGCATAATATATGAGGCTCAGTCATGATATTTTGATATGGTACCTGAGGAAGAAGATCTCACAAGTGCCTCTCCTCCCTCGTGGAAGTAAGAATACAATAGGAATAATGTCGATAGCTTTGTTCTGCCTTTCATAACATCCAAAATTTGCTGCCTGAGGCAAATGCCTCAACTTTGCCTAAAAGTAGGCTGGCCCTGGAAAGAAGGGATTCGTGTTGACAATATCAAGGACAACAAAGAGGTCACGAAGTACAAGGATTGTGAAGATGCCCTTAGATCAATTGGACATGTGGATGGGAACAATTTCAGTAAATCAAAATTGGCAAAGCCTGTGTTAGGGAGATTCAAAACTAGAATGAGGTGGGAGCAAAGGCAGGTCACAAACTTGAAAGCAAGGCAAGAGGTAGAGTAAGTGTGGAAGGAAGAGTGAATCTAGCTGCCTGCCTTGTACCAAAGTGATTACCACTGGAGCAGCCCAGAGAACAAGGGTGTCCACAGGATTCAGGAAGCTGATGATGCTAAGAACCTCTCGGCGGCTTTCAATACCATCGACCATGGTATCCTTCTGGATAGGCTTGCGGGATTGGGGGTTGGAGGCACTGCTTTGCAGTGGTTCCGCTCCTATCTCGATGGTCGATTCCAGAAGGTAGTGCTGGGGGACCATGTCTCTATGTCATGGCAGCTATGCCATGGGGTACCACAGGGCTCCATTCTATCCCCTCTGCTATTTAACATCTATATGAAACCGCTGGGAGAGGTCATCAGGAAGTGTGGGCTGCGGAATCATCAATACGCTGATGATACCCAGCTTTACCTCTCGTTCTCCACTAATCCAGGTGAGGCAGTGGCTGTGCTGAACCGGTGCTTGGCCGAGGTAAGGGAATGGATGAGGGCCAATAAACTGAAACTCAACCCAGACAAGACGGAGGTCCTGTTGGTTGGCGGATCGGGTTTCGGAGAGGGTGGATTTGACCTGGTCCTGAATGGTGCAACACTCCCTCTTAGGGATAAGGTCCGCAGCTTAGGAGTACTCCTCGACCTGGAGCTTTCTTTGGAAGCTCAGGTGACAGCGGTAGCGAGGAACGCCTTCCTTCAGCTTCGGCTGATTAATCAGCTGCGCCCCTACCTGGAGTACGACTGCCTGGCGACGGTGACACACGCGCTGGTGACTTCCCGCCTAGACTTCTGTAACGCGCTTTACGTAGGGCTTCCCCTGAAGACGGTCCGAACACTTCAATTGGTGCAAAATAGAGCTTCCAGGTTGCTGACGGGGACGGGGCGTTATGCTCACATGACTCCAGTCCTCCGTCAGCTTCACTGGCTTCCCATTGAAGCCCGGGCCCAATTCAAGGTGTTGGTTATGACCTATAAAGCCCTAAACAGCTTGGCTCCTGGCTACCTGAACGAGCGCTTACGTCCGTATATGCCCGACCGACCCTTGAGATCTGCGGGAAAGTCCCTTCTCCGGGAACCCTCCATGAAAGAAATTAGGAGAGTAAGTACCCGGAGGAGGGCTTTCTCTGCGGTGGCGCCCAACCTATGGAATTCACTCCCCAAAGAGGTCCGCCTGGCACCGTCGTTACTGGTTTTTCGGCGCCAGGTAAAGACCTTTTTATTTAAACATCATTTCAATTGTTAAAACATATGATCTGGCCAGGGCAACTTCTTCTTCCTTCTCTTTCTCCTCCTATATTTTTATTTTATACTGATAATTTTAATTTTATATTTGTAAATCAATGTATTTTTTGTATTTTTATATTTAATGGTAATTTATTATGTACTATTGTATTTCAATGTATTTTATCATGTTGTAAGCCACCCCGAGGTTTCGGCAAGGGGCGGCATAGAAATGTAATAATAATAATAATAATAATAATAATAATAATAATAATAATAATAATACATGTTTACTCAGAGGTAAGAGTAGGTGTGAAGGCTGGGAGAACCAGCGTGGTGTTAAGGTTAAGAGTGCTGGACTGGGACTCTTGAGATCTGGGTTCTAGTCCCTATCAGCCCAATAGGTGACTGGGCCAGTTACTTAATCTAACCTACTACAGAAGGTGGTTGTTGTGAGGTTGATGCAAGGGGAAGAAAGGGAGGACGTAATACATCAAGGTACTAATAGATCTTTGTAGGTTGCATTTATGCTAGCAGAGGATTCAAGCCCCTCTTGGAGAAATCCTAGAGTTTGTTGCTGGAGGTGGCAGTTGTCTTCCCTTCCAACTGAGAAATCTGTATCATTATGCCAAAAATCACAGACACTTCTCCCCTTTGTTAGCTATTTATGAATTTTATCTTGCAACCTTGCAGGTATCTCAGGAAAGAGCCAGATCCTTTTTGCACTTGTTTTTACAAGCCGTTACCTTGACCTATTGACAAACTTCATTTCCATCTATAATACTGTCATGAAGGTAAGAAAGGACAAGGGGCTTTGTCCAGTTTTTATACTCTTCATTTAGTTAATTAGAAATTTGACCAGAAAGCAATGCAGATTGATTGATTCATTCAGTCATTCCATTTCTATACTACCCAATAGCTGAAGCTTTTTGGATAGTTCACAAAAGTTAAATATACAATAAAATGTCATGAAATCTTATCAAAATACATACTTTTAAAAATTAAAAACAGCCAAAAATACAGGGAAGAGTATCCTTGTAAAAATATCTGAGATGGGTAATCCCTTTTAGACCTTGAATATCCAAGTATCTCTGTATTTATTATTTAAAACTTTTATATGCCTCAGCATAAAAAGCTGTCTTAATCTGGCACTGAAACACACCTGGTTTGTAACTGTGTACTACAGATCCAGGGCATTTAAGCGGAGAATAGGAAGAAGTGGCCTGCTGGCAAATATATTATTCCTGATCTTGTTACACCAAGATCAGGCAACTTCCAAGGGTCAGCAGCTCCACTTGGAGCCAGATCCCCAATTCTGCTGCATGCTGCTGAAATTTGGTGGTGCGGTGGCAGCAGGAAAAATACCCTTATTTTCACAACCAAAGGTTGGCAGTAGCAGACAAAAGGGCTGCATTTGACTTTTAAAATGCTATTTTCTCCTACTGCTGCACACCACCAAATTGTAATGGCAAACCAGGGAAGGGATCGCATGAAACCCAGATGTTGCCTAGCCCTGCTTTACACAAAGCACCATAATGATAAGATGCAGAAAGTGCATGATTCTGAGTTCTTGGTTACAGTGCAGTTGCCTCTGATCTCATTCTTGTATGCCTTATTTGACCCTTGCCTTGCCACTTTCTTTCCCACTTTCCCTCGTGAAAGAGAACAGGGGAAAAGCAGGCAACATAGCCAGGCAACATAGGCAGCCAGAAAGCTACTGGCCATACAGCTGGAGGATGCTATTGCCATTCACACTTTTTTATGTGTTCTTCAGCAACAGAGTATTTGTAGTCCACCTGGTATGTTAGATGAGCAGTACATTTTCATGTTTTCGAATGCTTATGTCTGGAGAGAAGCAGGGCCAAAGTTCACAGACTGACTTTATGAGTAGATTCCACCAGTTTTCACCCCAGTTGAAATCACAAGACTTGGACTTTTTCTCAATAAACCCCAATGTTAAGGGGCACATCAAACTAGTTCTCACAGTTTAATTGGCTCACCTTTTCAGCTGATAGCATAATAAAATGGTGGAAGTGAGTGTTTGAGGGCCCCACAGGAAGACCTTCTGTTCTTTTAGTTCAGTTACAGGTAGAAAGTTACTCCCCACTTTTCTGATGGTCTGTCAACTCTTTGCCCTGGTGATCTCAGCAACTGTATGTCCACATCAGCAAAAGCAGCAGCAGTAAAAATAGAACTGATGCCTGTAGAGGCAGGGACCAGATGTGCACTGCTATTTCTAAAATTGCAGCCTAACCCACAAACACAGGAGGAAAGGGGTGTTAAGCATACAGATACAATCAGAATTGAAGTAGTACATCTCTCCTCCCCTCTGTACCACATCCCAGGAAATTGGGAAGCAAAAGACTCAGTCCCAGTTTTATGCATTTTCATTTCCAGGCCTCCATACCTAGTGCAAGTTTAAATATCCCTACATCCGAACTTACCATGTATTTTCACATGCCTGACATACACCAATGCTCCCTAGCCATCCTTGCTGCTTTCCATTTGCAGATTTGTTTTCCTATACTGCCCCAAAGCCAAAACTCTCTAGGTGGTTTGCAGTTGCATCCTTCCACTCAGTGTGTGTATTATTACACTAATAATTTAATTTTGCAAGGACCCTATGTTCTGTTGCAGGTCGTTTTCTTACTTTGTGCCTATGTTACTGTATATCTGATCTATGGGAAATTCCGGAAAACTTTTGACAGCGAGAATGATTCCTTTCGCCTCGAATTCCTTTTGGTTCCTGTCATAGGCCTGTCATTTTTGGAAAACTACAGTTTTACACCTACAGAGGTAAGGAAGCAATTTGTATTAGAGGAGACTGGATAGGCAACCTAATGCCCACAGACATTTTTGGCACCCACCAAGGCACCTTACCCCTTTGTCATATACGCAATTCACACACATTTTAACACCAACATGGAAGAGGGCAGGAGAGCAGCAAGAAGCATTCGGGTGTTGGGGGAATAAAGGTGAAAGCAACCTGCAGGAGAGGATTTGAGTACCTGTATGTTTGCACAAATGGAGGCCATAGGTTAATGAGATAAACAGCATAGGGCAGATTTTGGAGTGATCCTGAAATGTTTTTTCATGTTTTTCTAGCAAGGAGGCAGTTATCTTCGTTTACATATGCATACAATGGATTCATGGCATAGTTCACAGGACACAGAGGGCTGGTAACCCAGGACAGGGTCACACATTCTGAAGCATACCCATGGGCCTGAAAAGGTTATTCACCATTTATTTGAAGTGGAAGGTTCATTAAATCCCCAAACCATTGTGCTATTGCAGATAGCCATTTTTCCTTTCAATATTTCAATCTTAAGTCTTTTAGCTTTCAAAAGCACATGGAAAATCCAAAAGGTGTGTAGGTAATTCAAAAGAACACATGTATCCTTAGATTTTGAAGTGTTTACCCTCACAAGATTTATCCAAATTATTACCTCACTTCCAAAGAAAATTGCCAAAACACATGGTGAAGGGGAAAAAAGTCTTAGGTGTCCAAACCCAAATTTTCAACATACTCACTTTATTCTTTTTAGTTGAATGCTTTATTCTGTGACCTAGTTACCATTATGATATACTTTCCTCCTCAGATCCTCTGGACTTTCTCTATTTATTTGGAATCAGTAGCTATCCTCCCACAACTCTTCATGATTAGCAAAACAGGTGAAGCCGAGACAATCACTACCCACTACCTTTTCTTCTTGGGTCTCTACCGTGCTCTCTATCTTGCCAACTGGATCTGGCGTTACCACACAGAAAACTTCTATGATCAGATTGCTGTGGTTTCTGGAGTAGTACAGACGATCTTCTACTGTGATTTTTTTTATCTCTATATTACTAAAGGTAATGAGCACACAAAGAACACTAGTATTGTGTCTGGTCAGCATTTGATCAATTCACAAGATGTGTCTCACTATAATTATTTAACTGGAGCACACTAATAATCCTGCATACTAAGTGCTGAGCATTAATCCTCGAGTATTTCTTAAAGCCAACTCAAATCAACCAGCATATTACTAACAGCATGAACTACATACAAAAAAAGGAATACTGTAGTCCATATTAAAGCAATACCACAGAAGCCACTCCTGTTTATTCCAGAGTTTGACACTGAAAGTTCTTGCTATCTCACTTTATACCTATTATGCCTTCCCAAATGTCAGTTACTGAACTACATATGCCTAATTTCTAACACATTGTTATGCAGATCATAATCTGACCATAACACAGATTGGGATACTTGCTGTCATTCTGTCATGACACAGAAGGTAGTTTGTAAGAGAGCTTTCACTATTGAGCAGTACAGAAATTAAGTAAAAATAAGGGCATTTTGCCCAATTTTCATCAAAGTGCTGTATACTTTCCATTTAGGGAAATTTACAAGTTGTAGCTCTCCAGATCTTTTGGCCAACAATGGTGAGACACAATGCTAAGCTTCTGGATGACCACAAGTTGTCCACCTACAGTATAGGGGTTCCATAATTCTGAATGTTAACATTAAAGGGGCCACCCTGATGCCACTGCTTACCTGAAAAACAAATGGTGTAGTTGCCATTCCTTTCTGCCATTCAGCACAAACTTTTCATTTTTTTCTAGTATTAAAAGGAAAGAAGTTGAGTCTTCCAATGCCTATCTGAAGATGCACACCATTTAACAAGTTCCTGAAGACACTGCTGCAGGACTGAAGGATTTTTTTCTACTCTTCCGCCATTTGGTTCAGCTAGTATTTGGAGAATTTACCCTGTTCCTCTACACCGTAACTAGCAAACCCCAAATTGTGCCTGAGAGACTGATGTTTGGGTAGCTAACACTTCTGGCTTAACACTTACAGACTTTAAGTATTTACATTTTCTTTTGTACTGGCATGTTCCTTTGATGACTGAACTGTGCTTGTTAACAAATAAAATAATACCAACTACATACTGACTCGATCTCTTTATTTGCTTCAACATTGATGCCAACCTTGAAGCTATTTCAGTCATAGTTCATTTGTTGAGGGACCATAATACACAGCTTAAGTTATGATTGCAGCAACTTAGGAAAATGGAATGTACCTCAAGTAAAACCCTTAAGTGTTAACTAGAAGTACTATAAATCATAGACTAAATAATAAAAGTAACTTGTAACATATTTCGAGCAGGTTTGTAAAACTTTTAGCCAGATAAAATACAACCTACCAACTACATGTAGCAGCCTAAGGCCTCAACCACCTGTTTTTGCTGCTGCTGAATGCAAAAACAAACTTTGAGGCCCTCGGGGGGCACCATCTGACTTAATGCATTACAAATCATGCAGGCTCCTTTAGTGTCTGCATGTTGGAAGTTTGCTACACTAAAAAATCAAGCAAAGTATATGCTGCCCTCAGTTTTTGTTTTGCTATTTTTAAAAGCCTGTCACTGTGAACATGGTGACAGCAACTGAGCACAATAGCATGGAGGCACAACAATACTATTCCTCCTTCCACTAGGCTATGTTCAGTGTGCTTCTATGGATAACACCCTTAAACCAGCAAGCCTACATCCAGTCGTTTCTTGTAGCCTTTGCCAACCACAGAATTAATTTTCTGTGCTTATTTTGGGACTTAAAACATTCCAAACTATCTTAAATAGGTAATCAGATCTTTTTATCCCATTGTAGTGCTATTTAGATTCCCAGTTAATCTGTTGAGCTTGTAAACTTATATCTACTGGTAGATTTCCAAGTGATCTGCATTAGCTCCTTATTGTTAACCAACGTAACAAGGTGATTTCTTTCACAAATACACAATTAAGCTACTGAAGTGAAAAAAAATTAAGGGGAAACCAGGAATAGATTTATGAAAGGAATACACACTCAGTTCTAGTTCTATAACAAATGACTGCATTTGCTCAGCAGCACCCTTTTCATGACTGTGTGTGTTTGTTCTGGATCATAAGCACAATTTAGCACTTTGCAGACCTCAGGATTTGAATAAAAAACTCTCAATGCATCTAGCAAGCCAAAAGTCTGCCTAGCATGCAGCAAAAGATATAGAAATCGGGTATTTCTTCTTCCTCAGATATATTAACTGGGAACAGATGGAATATGACATTCAAGCAGCTGCATTTTGCACTGAAAAACAAAGAGTTCAAACTTTATTGACAACAGTGTTTTATTCATACCTACAAAAGAAAACAAGATGGTATCAAAAGGACAATTTACAAACTAATAGTAACATAGCTTTTTAGTATGCTGTGCCTGAACACCACAGAGCTATGAATCTCTCCATTCAAGTCTTTATTAATACAACAGGAATGTGTTCAAATACCAGTAAAGGTTGAAACAGAGCACTGATCCCACCCACAAAGCCTCTAATGTTTAGAGTTTAAATCTTCCAACTGAACAAAGCCCACACAGTCACTTGTCTGAAAAGAAAGATATGCTGTACTGGTATTTCTACAAAGGTTTACTGGGGAAACAGTGGACATTACTGCTTGTCAACAGGGCTCTTTAAGCTGGTAAGTGGAACCAAGCAGCACCAGGTGGGACACAAGCAGTACATGCCACAGAGCACTCAAAGGCTGATTAATACTCTGAGCATGAGCAACTCTGGGCTGTAGCTCTTCAAGCTACAAGAAAGTACTGCAAGGCCCAGAGTTTTACGTCTGCAGAGATTGCTGAAGACTAAGACCACACAGCATTCTTGACTCTCCGAATCTGCTTTTAGGACAGTGGGGAAATACGCATTCTTTCCACACACCCTATTTTTGTAGATTCATCTCTGCATGAACAAACACCTCCATGATGGCTTTCCAGGAAGGAAACATGGATTAGTCAGTGTTCAGTAAACGAATGTTCATTTCTGGTCTTTCAGCATCAAAGCTTCTTGCCAGAGGACTCATTTTGCCAGCTTACAATTATGGAAGTCAAAGAAGGCAAAAGAAATTTAACTGGCAAACATTTCCCTCCCATAGTCTGTGTCACCAACCTACCTGCATGTTGCATACAAGACACAAAAGTGATTACATTTCCCCAACTTGTTTTTTACACTGGGGAACACAAATTCAAAACCCAATTTTATTAGCGAGCCCCATATTGCTATAGAAGAAAAGGACTGCCTTATTTGTTTGAACTATACATTTCCCCAAACAGAAAATAACGCTGTAGCACAAACATTATGCCTCTCAATCAATATGTGATTCCCTGCCATGTTATCAGAACATTTCAGGTAATGCACTATAAAAGCCAACTACTACCAACCTTTCTGCTAATAGTCACAAGACATAAGCCTTAGTACTTGAACAAGAATCCCACCCCAGCCACCCCAGCCCCCAACCTAAAGCCTTGCTCAGCCTGGGAGGAAAAAAAAAAGACTGAATGGAACTGTTTCCTTAAGTTCCATCCTTTCCTAAAGTTTCCTAGAATGCTACCTACCTGTAAAAGCTGAATGCAAAAGACAGTTGAAGAAATTCACTCAAAAGCCAAGGAAAGCCCTAGTCACATCAGGGTATGAATACAGCTCCAAGACATCTTAGCCACCTCTTCTTCCTCCCCCATAAAGAGAAGTTTAGATTCCATTTAGCCTAAAGTAAACCTTTTAAGATTTGAAATAGGAAAATTTAACCATTTTACATAGAGCAGAGGGATCCTGCACCTGTCCAATGAAAGGTACTCAATATCAAGACGAAAGATGCCAAATAAATGGAAACTGGTTAGCATCCTCTGTACCTTCTTCTGCTGAAGTGTGATCTTAATCCCAGCAGCTGAAACATGGGGTCAAGGCTTCATTTGTGATCCCTTAGGTGAAAATCCAGTTACTAGTAATTTAAGAGCTACAGAGAAACTCCAATTAACCTAGAAGTACAGTTTTGTGATTAAACCTGGGGTGAAGTACACTCCAGCGGAAAAGAACACTCATCTCCAATTATTATTACATCCTTTTCCCAACCAGGAGCTACAGGAATGCTAGCTAAAAATATTTAATGTTCTACCTGTGGGGTGCAAGTTTGGAACAATCATGTATTGAGTCAAACCAGATTATCTTTTCCAAAATTACCCTTGCCATATCCAAGGTCTCAGTTCATTTATCATTGTACAAAAACAGTCTCAACTTCAAAAATCACACCATCTTTAATATTCACTTAAGAATGGAGCACTCCTTAGCACCATCCTTCTTGATGTTTACAACATGGAGTAGTTGTCCTCTCTGCAGCAAGTTTTCACACACAAGCCTCAGACACAATGACAACTGGACTGGGACATATCAGCCCTGTGCAGTCTTTGAGAGAAAATACTTCCAGATTACTTAATGTGCAAGGCCAATATATAGAGAGTCAGTTTCCAGCTAATATTAAGAACAAAATCAGTAATGCATACTGGGATCATTGTTTGTGGGCTGAATTTGAATGGTGAACTCTATGACTAACCTGCATGGGGGGAAAAACATCACAATGAGGGCTGAAAGGGGAAAGAGTTAGGAAGAAGAGAAGGTCTTAATTGCAAATCTTGACTGGTAACTGCCAAACTAAATGGTCTCACTTGCGTGAAGGAGGAGGGGGTGGAGGAGGGGGTGGATATTGGTAGTTGGCAGTCTGTCCCATATAGCCCATTACGTTGGTGCCTGGAGGCTGAGGAAACTGTTGCGACATGAGAGGCTGTGGTTGCTGGCCTGAACGGCCCATCCCTGCATACTGCTGTTGGCCAGTGCTCTGTGTGTTTCTCCCGGCATTGGCAGTAGTGGCTCCACCATACCCAGCAGCACCATATTCTGCCCCATAGCCACTTGTACCATAAGCAGCAGCTCCATAGGCTCCCTGGGCATAACCGTATTGGCTCTGCTGTGCCCCAAATGCAGAATTTGCATTCCCATATGCACCACCATAGGCCTTGTTGGCTCCATTGGCAAAGCTGTCACCACGATCACGGTCTCGAAAGGTAGTTGAATCTCTTCGGCCATCTTTAACTCCCCGAAGCCTCCTTTCACATTCCTCCTGGTACATCAAATTTGGGTTGTTGGAAGAATTAGCAGTACGGTAACGAGAACGACCACCTAGTGATAGACATGTCTAGGTTTAATATGATGTTTATCACAATTAAAAGCACTGTTAAGTTCAATTTACCTTCCATTAAAAGCACAAGGAGATCAAATCAGTCAATCTTAGAGGAGATCAACCCTGACTGCTCTTTAGAAGGCCAGATACTGAGGATGAAACTCAGATACTTTGGCCACCTAATGAGAAGGAAGGACTCACTGGAGAAGAACCTAATACTGGTAGCAACTGACAGCAAAAGAAGAAGGGGAGACAGAGGATGAGGTGGCTAGATGGAGTCACTGAAGCAGTTGATGTGAGTTAAGTGGACTCTGGGGGATGGTGGAGGACAGGAAGGCCTGGAGGAGTGTTGTCCATGGAGTCACAATTGGTTGGACACGACTTAGCAACTAGCAAGCAACCAAATGTGTGTTTAGCCCAGAAAAAAGGACATTCAACGTTCCCCATTCACCTAGAAACGAGGAGAAATCAGTTGTAAAGTCTTGAGCAGCTTTGATTTTATGCAGATATGCAAAATATGGCAGGCTGACAATAAAAGTACCTTAAATTTTAACTTTTCTTATTTACAGCCCGCAATACTCCAAGGAGAGTCAGCCCATACAAAAGTATATGACTACAAGTCCAGTTTTATCAATTGACATTACTACTGCCCTAGAGGCTCAGGACAAACTGCAAATACCTATCATGTCTATTTAATCTAGGCTTACTTCAAATTTTTAAAAGGGCAGAGGGGTTGTTACCCATCTATATGCTATGCCCTCTCTAAATTACTTCAGAGTGATGTGCAATCTAGACCAATTTCCCTGTGCTTTTTCCAACAAGGGTAAAAACCATATGGATGCTTACTAGTGACTATTTTCATATTTTATTGGCTGCCTTTTTGATTCAAATAACAGTCTGCTATTTTATTGTCATGTATCTTGAGCAGTATTTTTAGCGGAAAATAAACCTAAAGAAGTCTCTGGATCAGATAAAATACACACAGTGGTACTTCAGCTCACGAACGCCTGTTCACGACCAAATCGGGTCAAGAACAGAAAAGTTAGAAAAATTTTGCCTCAGGTTGCGAATGACACATCAGGTGACGATCACAATCGCGGCCATCTTCCCTAGCACGAACACTCCAAACAATCACCTTCTCCCCACCCACCATGAGGGCTCGCTCACCTCTGTTGATACCTTCCTGGCTCCTCACCACCATCCCACTTCCAAGCCGGAAAGTCCCCTTGCAGGTGCTTGCCCAGCTCCGGAAGGGGAAGCATGAGTGGGAGGCTGGAGAGGCGGGCACAGGATGGCTCTCCTCGACAGGAGGGCCACAAGGAGGGAGGTAAGGGCTGTTTTCCATGGGCCAAGGCAAGGGGAGGCAAGGGACCAGCTGAGCAGAGCACCTCCCACCTCTCCCCGCTGCATCCGCCCCAGGGCTCAGCAAGGTGGCCGCGGCTTGGCCAACAGCCCAGGGACATGGTTCATACTGTATTTTTGTGGTTTAAAAAAAAAGTATGTATGTATTTAAAACTTACATGCCGTCCTTTATGTATAATGAAGTTATGGTAAAGAACAGATTAACCTTATTTACATTGACCCTTATGGGGAAATTTGACTTGGCTCGCAACCAATTTGGGTCACAATCAGAATCGTGGAACGGATTAAATTTGTGAGCCAAGGTACCACTGTATATCCCATAAACATGAGCCAGTGTACTTTAGTAGTTAAGAGCATCTGAATACTAGTCCCCACTCAGCCACGGAACTGGCCTGGGGATTTTGGGTCAAAGACTCAGCCTAACCTACTTCACAGGGCTGTTGTAGCGACAAGAATGAAAGCAGAGAATTATGTAAAATACCTTGAATTCTTGAAAAAAGAAAAAAGGCAGGATATAAATCTAATAAATAATTGACCATTTCATAATGGTACTTGATAAACTTAATGCAACTATGCAGAAGACAAGCAGCTAAAAGCAAATACAACAATCTTACCTCCACCACCACCTCCTCCTCTATGGTCCACAAGCTGCATCAATTTGGGATTGATGGCCTGATTGGCTTCCTCTAGCACTTTTATTAGCTCTCTAGCCTGTTTCAGATTTCCTGGTGTGAAGAATGTATAGGCAGTGCCTTTGTTGGTGCTACGGGCGGTACGACCAATTCTGTGCACATAATCCTCCGAGCTGTTTGGATAGTCGTAGTTTATCACAAACTTTACATCTTCCACATCTTGTGAGGCAATCAAAGCACAGTGAGGGGTTCAGGAGAGGGTAGTGGAAGGAGGATGTGCCAACAGAAGGTGGGGAGCACAAATGCAAGTGACAGTAACAAAAGAAAAGAAAAAAGTTAGTAATTGTAAGGCATAAAGACAGTACAGACTCTTCCCAACAGAGCGAAAAGCTAAATTGAGATATATGCCCATGGGAATCAAGAATCTGTGTTCAGAAAGAAGACACCAAGTCAAGCAGTTCCTCATTCCTCCCAAAATCCATCCATCCTTCACTGCAACCATGTCATTAACACACACACATTGCTGATCTCTGAACATCTGACTTGTGGAATTCAGGCAATTTTACTCCACAACAAGCATGTCAAGGAACAAACAAATGTGCCACTCTTTTTACTGACACAGCAAACAGGATTGGGTGAGGGAGAGAACTGCCAAATACTTTTAACTCTGTTAGGAGAAGTCTACAAATCTAGCAACAGCAAAACCACCTACCTTCCAGTCATCTCAAAGATTTAAATACACATTTATTCAATTAGTTTTATATGAACTAAATAAATTATTTTTCTCTCCCTAGTATTGGTAAAATATCCAGTTTTAGCTGAGGTAAAATTTGCCAGTTTGGGTCAAAAGACAATTAAATTATTTCAATCATCCTCTTTTAAAGGTGCACCACACTAACATTTGATCATATCACCAAATCCATCTTGGTGAACTATCTAGCATAATATTGCTTGCAATTAACTTGAAGGTTATAACCCCAGATGCGAATATGCAAAGCTTTAAGGAAAATATCTGAGATTTTAGAAGTGTAGAGGACAGAAAATAAATAAATGTTAGTGTAATGCTTTAATAAAAACTTGCCATAAAACATTTATAAAAAGCAAATTTACATTAAAAATTAACAGCTGACTTACAAAAATCTGCATTTTACAAAGAATATTTAAATTATATCCAAGATAAAACACAGATTGACTTTTCTTTTAAAAATGAGAAACATTCCCTGTTGTTACCAGACCGATGCACACTCCCTCCTCCTGTGGGAAATCGCTGCAGCCGATCCCGTCTCTTTGCCTTTTATTTTTGGCGGCCTCCTTTCGAAAACTCCGCCCTCTGACACGGGACCACTGGAGCGCGGGGAGCATGCATCAAGGGTCCATGGCAGCGAGAAGTCCCCACACACGCTCGCTCTGTGAACTGGCTTAGTTGCTTCTCTGTAGCCCCATTTGGCTGTCAAGCGCCTGAGAACCTGGGTTCGCGTAAGCATTTCAGGTCCTCCAACGCTTGTTGTCCCCTCACAGGGCTTAAAGGGGGCAATTGTCAAAAATGAAGATGCTAAAAATTACATCCAAAAGGTCAGGCTGCATCTATTGCCCAGACTGCATCAATTTCAAATAAAAAGATTGGAGGGGGCATGGGGAGGGCAAAAGTAAAAGTGAGTTGGAGTAGTGGCAAAGGGGTGTTATGTCTGTTTCTTATTACAGCAAGGGGGGGCTCCTCAATCTTTCCAGACTCCAAAGTCCTGAATCACACCAAAAAGTGAGAAGGCAGATTTCACAGGGGGCAGCGCGAGTCTCCAGCTAGGGTCCTTGGTGCAAAGATCTCAAAGGGCAAGTGTTAGATCAGGGCAGGATAACACACTGAGTGCACTCACATCTTCACAGCTAGTGTTTAACTGGAGTCTGACAAACTGATGGGGCCTCAGCCAATCCCATTCTGTACATCCATTAGCAAAGTAGCCATAATGAATATCAGGAAGCATTTTCTTGTTAGAAAGCACAGAAATTGCCAGTTAAGAATGAAGGAACCAATGAGTGGATTTTGACAGGAAATCCATGGAAAAGCAACAAGGAAGAGAAGGGGAAAGGGGGGGGGGAGGGCATTTCTATTTTCAAAAGGTGCATATCAGATCCGCATTATCTGTCTGGGGTGGGGAAGAGAACATGCAGTAAAAAAATGGTTTCCCATTAATTTATCTTAGACTGATGCAAAATTGTGCTCATCACAATATATCTTCCAAGGAACTATAGAGATTCAATTCTTGATTATTCTAAAAAGGAATCTGGCTACCTGGGGATGCATACCCACTGAGATGCCCCCGGAAAAGGTCTGAATGTCTGAACATTAAATGGGAGGGGCAGAAACTAGCAAACACGATCATCTAGAGAGCTGCTTCGACCACCAATGTAGATATGTCCCCAGACCTGCACTGAGTGATCGGCAGCTGATATCAAAGTTTCTGTTAAAGAAAACAAACAAAAAGAAATTTAATGATTTGACTTTAACAGAGTGAAGTGTAACCAAATTTTTAATGAGAAACAGTGCAGAGGGAAGTCTTCTCTTCTGGGGATCATTCACAGAGAAGCCATTATGGGGGACTCAACTTACCTGGAAGGAGTTTTCTGAGACCAATGTTCATTTGAGAAGAAGGAAAAACCCTGGTGACTCCGCCAAAAAGTGCGCGCCCCTGTTCTATGTTTTAGGTAGAAGCCTTCACTTTCCAGGAACTTGGAGGAATTCGTCCAGAGGTTTGCCAGTTAGGTATTACGTTTTTTATAAAGCAGCAAACTCTGGGCCCCAAAACAAGCCAAGATGTTATTTAGTAACAAGAAACAGACTCTGGTACCTTTTCCCCACAGCCTCAGTGAAGTGGAGAAGGCAGAACGGGGAGACTGTTTTCTTTAAATAGTATCCAAATGAGTTGTTTTGGGGAAATACATGAGGAGAAGGGTTGATTTTAAGTGTCTAGGCAAGATGCACAAAGAAGCTACCAGCACACAGCAAGCCTGTTTAAAAACCACTGCCAAAGAATCTATTATCTTTAATGTTTTTAAAAATCTGGCCTCACCCCTTCTCCTAACAGGCCCAAGTTCTACCTGCATAGGTCCAGACATGACCTCAGAGGACAGAGACTGAAATCCATATGAGCACTTCTAGAGAAGTGCTGGACAATTTAAGAGATGGCATGGGATAATGAAAATTATGTGAGTACCGACTGTTTTTTTTTTTAAAGTATGCTGTATTTAAAAGGAACAAGCAATTACTGCTTCAATACTTCAGGGTTTTTTTTTCCAAGCAACAATACACTCACATGTTTTAAACAAGTTCCTTTGAACTACTTGAGGGGTTATTTTCATTGATTCTATTTAAGATCTGCAACAACAGGTCAGCCTATTACACTACTGAACAGCTCCTAAGTGTGTCCTCTTCCAGATTTCTCTAGCATTTAAGGATATAGGGAAATCTGACATTTTTTAATGTATGAGATGCAGAACTTAATCAGGGTATCAATATACTTTTTTAAAAGGACTGTTAATTCAAGCATCCAGAAGCAATGTTTATAGCACTTAAAGAAAAATGGAATTCATCCTCATTTACAAGATAACCTTTGTGGCTTCTGTTATTATCTCAGTAATCCAGTCTAGGAGGAAGAGTGAGGTAAAATTCTTGTGTGCAAAAATGCAAAGTGTTCACATAGGTGAAACAGTGTTCCATGTGGGGGGCATCTACATACACATGTTAAGATGCAGTTGCATTAATCATGTATTTGGACAGAAAAGGACTCCTGAAAACATGGTTGCTCTACCACATAGTAATGAACAACTTAGTGGATGCAGTCCAGTCCTAGCCATCCAGCCTCAAAAGCTGGAGCTGGAAAGGAAATGGGTGTGGTGGAAGAATTGGGCTGAGTAAATGGACGTCTCTTCTCCCCATTGGCGATCGATTAGTCATGCCTAGGCCTTGCTGCAGACCAAAGCCTGTTCATTAGGAGCAGGAAGAGATTTTGAATATGAAAGAAAAAGAAGATCAATGTTAAAAATGGCATTTCACATGTTGGGGAAAGTCACGCTTAAATTCTTTGGGGAAAAAATTGTCAATCTAAAGAAACAACCTGAGAAGCAGGCAGAGAAGCCCATGTGTACAAACCTAGCCCACGAGATGCAACATCCGTAGCAATGAGGATAGGGGCCTTTCCAGAACGGAATTCTGAAAAAAGAGAACCATCTTGATGTACATTTATGAGAAATCATAGTTAAAAACATAGTTTATATTTTAAGTTTGCTGGCTCCAGGTAAGATTTTAAATCTATTAACAATGGTCCACACAAAGTTATTTTTCTGAATACTGTTATTTTGTTATGTAAAACTGTCATGATTTCTATTATGAAAGTACATAAACACCCAACAGCTAAAACAACATTTAAAAAAGCTATACAAATATGCACATTTGCCATACAGATGTAAGCAATACGCTTATGATATTGTTCTGCTTATGGAACACCCTAGTCACAAAGCACACATTACTAAAGTGTGCTTTGTAAGCCAGGCAAGTTCTTCTTTCTACTCACCATTAAGCACCCAATCTCGTTCTGGCTGACTCTTGTCTCCATGAATACACATAGCTGGCCAACTACAAAAACAAAAGATTTTCAGCAATTTTAGTCATAACTTAGCCAGTTCCAGAAACATGACCATTTTACAAGAAACTGATTTAAGTAATCAAGAATGCAATTAATTTTAAGCTAAGTTTGGAGCTCCAAAGTCTAATAAACACTGCAGAACAATGTGCCTCTGCATAATGTTCCATGTGCCACAAACAAGGTGGCACAAACATTTGGGAACCATGACATGTTCATCCACCCTTCTTCAGTTGCACATTCCTGGAGGAGATTAATTATCTGTGTATCTCACTTAGATTAACCATATGACCTGCTCCCTCAGATTCAAGGGGTGTACAATTTATTAACTTATTGACAATTGTTAGATTATTCATAAACATCTTATAAACTGATGCAACCTCACTTCACAAAAAGAGTAGCAATTAAGCAGCCATAACTTTTCTTTTATAGCCAGAAAAAATGTACATGCAATATTCAAAAGAACTATTATAAAGGGTTGTCAAGCTCTACACATCAAGGTTTTCCAACTGAAAAATTAACATTTTAACAAAATTAACAGGTACAAAAGACCTACCCATCTCTACGCATCCTTCGAGTTAGATCATCACATCGTCGCTTTGTCTCCACAAAGATAATAGTCTTATTCTCTTTTTCAGCCATGATTTCTTCCATCAGTTGTATTAGTCTTTTAACACAGATAAACACAAGCACCGTGAGCAAGAGCAAAGCAAGTTGTTTTCATTAGTTTAAAATGAGCTCGTTTTGGTACCATTCAGTTATTTAAAAATTGTACCATTCTGCTACCATATGGTACTATGTTAATATATTCCCAACAATACACAATAAAAAGCTGCAGTGATGCAGTGGTTATGATGTTGGACTGGGAAGATCAGGGTACAAGCCTCTATCTCAACATCATGTGGAATGTTAGTCCTATGTAGCCCCATGGAAATGAATGGGACTTAATGGAATTAAGTTGTCTCATTCATTTCAGTAAGTCTATTGTAAGTAGGACTAACATTAGAACACTACCCCTCATCAATAAAGCTGAAAGGGTGGGGAAAATTTACAAATAATGAAGAATAGCAGAAAGAAGCTGTTCAGTGGACCGAAAAATTGATGGGCCACAACTGAAATATTTGAATGATTTTCCTTTTGTAAGTGCTTTAAAGGTTCAACAAAAAAAGGCAAGATAAAAACAAAACTTGCCCAGCTCTTCATAAACAATGCTACCTTTAAAGGGGGAGGGGGGGGTCCAAACTGCAAGAATAATGAGGATAGTACAACAGCATCCATACTTATGATCCTTCTCGCTTTCCATGCAAACATCCACTATTTGCAGGATATTGTGATTGGCACTCAGCTCCAGGTTGCCCACATTGATCTGGACGTAGTCATGCAAGAAATCCTCAGCCAGCTGGCGCACCTCCTTTGGCCAAGTGGCACTCCACATCAGAGTCTGCCTGTCAGGCTAAGTGAAAAGGTGTGTTATCTGGGGGGTATCTTCTAAAATGACAATTCAAAGAAATCTAATGAAGTGAAAGCTTACATACCCGAATTTGATCAACAATTTTACGGATTTGAGGTTCAAAACCCATATCCAGCATTCTGTCAGCTTCATCTAGTACAAGGTATGTGCATCTGCGAAGGTTAGTTTTTCCTGCTTCAAGGAAATCAATCAAACGTCCAGGTGTAGCAATACAAATTTCAACACCTTCAAAGCAACAAAAGGGAAGGAAGAGAAAGAATGAACATCAAAAATTGAAACAATAAATAAAAATCATCTGTCTTTTAAACTGCAGAGCCAGCAATATCTCATCTATGAATGCCATGAGATAAAGACTGAGAGGAAGTTCTAGAAGGATCTTCAGAGACAGGAGGAAACTAGGAGGGGAAAGACCCAAGACAACCAAAGCAGCAGTTGGAGAAGAACTTGGAAAATGGGCAGGAGCCCCTCCTATATATTACTAAGGAGAGGGAGGGGAGGGGTTCCCACCAAAACAAGTTTAACTAGGGAAATTTTCCAGACAACTGGTCCCATGCAGGCACAAACCCCATGTGTGTGATGTACAGAGACCATGAAGAACTCTTAATGTTAATAGGTGATTACTTTATCTTAAATGCAGAGCTAATGCATGCAAACACGGTTATGTGTCTCCAATGCAGATGTTAAACAAATGACAAACATTCTTATTTAATATTTGCAGAACAATATTTTAATGTAAAGAAGGAAGAAAAAGATCTTCCACTTCACTGCTACATATAAGAGCAATGTATACTTTTTAAAATGTACTGTTATTAAACATATATGCACAGATTACATTTCCCTAAAATGCAAACCAATAACAGTGCTCTTATACCTTCCAAGTCTGGGAGGAGTACAAGCATCCTCTGAGTAGCTGAAAGAGTGCAGTTACAAAGGGTTCAGCTGTCTAAGTGTGGTGTCTCGGAGGATGGGGATGGGAGGCTCAGCCACCACCAGGATACAGCATGTGCTGGCAGAGTATGTCTCCTCCCTTGCTTTCCCTGGCTCCCTTCTCATCCCAAAAGTCTATCTCTGAAGTTGCTTCTGTGAGTTTGGAGCCACAGCTGGTATGGTTCTTTCCATAAGTTCAAGCAAAAACTGGGACTCTGAATTACCCTATGTCTGTTTGCTAACAAAGAATAACTGATTTATCCGAGAGTACCTCCTTTATACCGTATTTTTCGCTCTATAAGACGCACTATTTTCCCCCTCAAAAGTAAGGGGAAATGTCTGTGCGTCTTATAGAGCGAATGTGTGTGTGCCCAACTCCCGGGACGCTGCCGGCCCGCCTGCACCATGTGGCACCACCTGGCTGGCATGTGCTCGGTGCATGCTGCTCCGCCCCCCCCCCCAGCACAGGTGAGAACTGTGCCGCTCAGGGGGAGCGGTGCGGAGGAGCAGCAGCCGCGGGCTTTAACCCGCCGGCTGCACGGAGAGACGGATTGCTCACCCCCACTGCCCGGGAAGACCTGCCGCTGCCGCCCGGAAGATCACCGCCAGCACGCTGCCGGCCCAGCTGCACCACACCTGGCTGGCATGCGCTCGGTGCGCCCTGCTCTGCCCCCCTCCTCTGGTGCAGGTGAGAGCTGTTAATCACAGGTCAGGTGTGTGTTTTCAAATGGAAACCCATCTTTTAATGAAGCCCATGGGGAAGTGATGGGGAATGTGCCTGTGATTATCAGGAAGCTTTCCATGGATCCCTCCTCTAAAAACTAGGTGCGTCTTATAGAGCGAAAAATACGGTAATTAAAATGGATCACTACAACCGGTCTATGCAATATAGGGTTGCATAACTCTAAGAATTAATTACCTCTCTCCAGGTCTCTGATTTGGGGACCTTTGGGTGCTCCTCCATATATACATGTACTCTTCAATCTTGAACATTTACCATAATCATCAGCTACCTGTTGAACTTGTTGTGCCAGCTCTCGGGTAGGAGCTAAAACCAAGCACTGCAAACGAAACCATCCACAATATCAAGTAACATACTAAACTCTTACTTTACCTATCATAAGAACATAAGAAAAACCATGGAACAGACCAAAGGTTCATCAAGACCAGCACTCAGTACACACAGGAACACTCAAGCAGGATAGGTACAAGACCTCCATCTGTCCAGCTCCTCAGCAATTGGGTGTATGTAGGCATGCCACCTCTGGTAAAGGAGGTAGCACACAGCCAGCAAGGCTAGGAGCCACAGGTAGCCTTTTCCAAGAATCTGTTCAATCCTTTTTTAAAGCCATCCCCTTTTCCATGACAGTAAATTCCATAGTTTAACTATACATTATGTAAAGAAGTACTTCATTTTTGTTGCCTTTCTCTGTACTTTTCTAGCTCAATAGTGTTCTTTTTCAGATATGGTGATCAGAGCGGAACACAATATTCTTATTCTAAATGTGGCTGTACCAAAGATTTGTATAAGGGAAGTAAGATTTTGGCACATCTATCTTCTTTTCTGTTTCTTATGCCTAACATGGAGTTTGCCTTTTCCACAGCACGTGTGCACTGACCCAACATTTTCATTGAGCTGCCCACCACTACCCTAAGATCCCTTTCTTGCTCGGTCAGTGGAAGACCCCTTTCCTGCCTAGCCAGCTCCCATCAGTCTATAGATGAAATTGGGAATTTTTTTTTGCCCAACTCTACATTTATTTACACTGAACTGCATTTGCCATTTTGATGCCCATGCTCCCAGCTTGGAGAGATCCCTTTGGATCTCCTCATAATCCCTTTTGGTTTTAACCACCCTCGTAGTTTGGAGTCATCAGCAAACTTGGTCATTTCACTGCTTATTCCTAATTCCAGATTGTTTATAAGTAGGTTGAAAAGCACTAGTCCTAATCCAAAATCCTGCAGGAATTAACTAGTTATATTCCTCTACTGGGATAAATCGACATTTATTCCCACCATCTGTCTTCTGTTCTTCAATCAATTAGTGATTCATAAAAGGACTTCCCCACTTTATTTCATTACTGCTTAGTTTGCTCAGTAGTCTTTGGTGAAGGATTCTATCAAATCCTTTCAAAAATCTAAGTAAACAAGGGATCACCCATGTTGATTCTTTGTCAGCAAGGCTTGTCCCTCTATGCGCCTACTGATTCCGTCTTTAATGACACTTTCAAGCAGTTTACCCAGCACAAATGTTAAGCTAACTGGCCTTTAACTCCCTGAAAATTGGGTGTTATATTCGGCCATTCTCTGGTACAAAGGCTGATTTTAGGGACATATTAAATGTTTTGGTAAGATCAGCAATTTTATATTTGAGCTATTTAAGAACTCTAGGATGGATATTATCCAGACTGGATGACTTACTTTGTTTGTCAATAAGTTTGAGAATTTCATTTTGTCACTAATTCCTCCAACTCCCATCCAGAATACATAAGCTTTGTTTGTGCTGTTGTGAATACTCAAGGAAAAAAAAATCATTCAGCATCTTTGCAATCACATCTTCATTTAGTGTTCCTTTAATTCCATTATCATCCAATGGTCTAACTGTTTCTTTAGCTGCTTTCTTTCTTCTGATATAAAGAATGTTTATTGTTGGTGTTGATGTTGTTCACAGTATATTCCTCAAAACGGTTTCTTTGCTTCTCTTATTGACTGCTTGCATGTCCCTTCCTCAAGCTTGGGACTGGTGGGGAGGATTGTTTGGCAGGACTTCCATTTTTGGAAGAAAGCTTTCTTCTCCCTAGTAGCTTCCTTGACTCTGTGCCTTAACCATGCTGGTGACTTCCTGCACTTTGTACTACCTTTTCTCATTTGTGGTGTGCACATCATCTGTGCCTCTATTAAAGTGTTTTTGAGTAATCTCTTTGAAGTGATTTAAACTTGATTCCACTCTTCAGCTTCTTTACCTGTTTCCTCATTTTTTAGACATTTCCTCTTTGGAAGACAAATACAACTTTGTTCAACCTTTTAGTCACCTTCTACATAAGCATATATTAAATCTGATATCACCATGGTCACTGTTTCTTATTGACTCAACAATATTTACATCCTGTACCATGTCCTGGACAATCCTACCTAGGATTAAATACAGGATTGCCTCTCCTCTGGTTGGTTCCATGAGACAGTCATTTGGAACATTGACAAATGTAACCTATCAGAACTGGAACATACGTACAGTTACCCAGTCATAGTTGAAGTTACCCATTATTACAGTACTGCCTTTGTTAGAGGCCTCCTGATTTCATTCTCCATCTCAAGATCAACCTGAGCATTCTGGTCTGAAGCATACTCCTATGACTAAGTTAGTTTTGGAGCCAGGAATTTTCACCCATAGTGATTCCGTGGAGGAGTCTTTACACTATATGTTATCAAGTCTGCTGGACTCTATGCCCTCTTTAACAAAGAGAGTAACACCTCTAGAATTAGAGGAAAAACTCAAGGAACTGTCATCTTCAATCTCAAGTTCTACAAATGTAATATGTGACAAAACAGCATTCAACATATGTACACAAAAAGGAAACAAGTACTCACAATTGGACCATCCCCTCTTTCCAAATATGGCTGGTGGTTGATGTGAACAATTGCAGGTAACAAGTACTGAAAAGGGGCAGTAAACACTCATGTTAAGGGGAAAAGTGAAATGTTGACCAAGGCAATCACTGATTGCTTTAAGAAAGATATATAACTGCCTTAAATAGCAACCAAATGTGAGAAGTTTAAAAAAAGAAGAAAGGTTTGGGGCAGGTATATCAACTGCCCATGAATATTGTCAAAGCAAATAATGAAATTTAAGACCACATGGTTATCTAATGTAATAACAATTAATAAAAATTATCCATCCACCTTCATTTTATTTTAGGTACATACCTGACTCATTTCAACAAAAAGTTCCCAAAACAAAATGAACACAAAGTTCAAGAAAGAATGCTGAAATCTGTCAATCTTGTGTACCCTTAAAATAATTTGTATAACTGAACAAAGGGGATTTTTGGTAATTTGTCATATTCATATTAGTTTTAACATAACAGCATAAAACATTATTTAAAAGGATGCATACAGAACAGTAATCCCATAGAAACAGAAAAATACATACTGCCAATGTCTTCCCAGAGCCAGTTTGTGCAATGCCCACCATATCACGACCACTAAGGGCCAATGGGAAACCCTGACACTGAATTGGAGTTGGTTCTGTAAAATGCTGGTCGATCAAGACATCCATTACATACTCTAAAAGAGAATACACAATACAAACAGTAAAGAACAGCATATATAGGTAATGATAACCCATAACTAGTTGGGTTAACTGTTTAGCCCATAAACAACTCAGCAGTCAAATGTTATGTTGAACATCCTTTGAAAGAGCCAATTATGGCTTACTGAGCAAAACTAGAAGGCAGGCAGCATGCCTCCTCTCCCGCTTGTCTCTGACAGTCTACAGGTTGTTGAACCCATGGATTGGTTTTAACAGAAGAAAAGCCCCTCAGTTTGCTATATGAATTAGGTTCAACTGAAATTTCTACTGTAGTTTCCCTAAAGTTATATGTTAAACTCACTTTTTGGAGCTAAACACATCCAATCAGCAGATGTTACCCAAAATAGCTTCTCACCTCCCAACATTTGTGCTTAACTGAATACTCACGTGGAAAATTACACTGGTGGAAAGCAAATACGGGCTTGGGACAACCATCTGATCCTCTAACTGTAATCTCCTTCTTTCTTCTTAACTCGTCAACCTCATACTGTTTAGAGGAGTGAAAATTTCAAGTAAACCATCAGAGAAGTGGCAATTACAAGGCATTCCTTTATAATGAAAAAATATTACTAGTATCCATTAAGAAGCAGGGAATGTCTTCATTTCCATCAGTACAAACAATAATCATGCATTTGCACATGCCATAAATGTTCTGCACCCTCAGTTCTTTCCATTCTAATAGTCCTAGCTGACAGATAACTATTCTTCACCATATTAGCCCCATTTACAAGCTAAACTGGGATTAGAATTCATGTCTAAAACTGCATCCACCACACTCCATGAAATAAAAGACTTTAGAAATTAAATTCTGTAAATTCCGTGCAGCTAGCTGAAAATCTCATCTAACTCATTAAGTCTTACTTCCAAACATGTATGTGTAAGATTGCACTGCATGTTTGCCAACCAAAGGTCCTTATCAGTCAAAGACCTAGTTAATATGCAACACTGAACCATGGGATAATGAACTCTCAGTCTGCTGGCAGTAAGCAAGCTTGCCCCTGGTGCACTGCTCACTTCCACCTTCTCTCAACAACTTACAGGTACCCTATTTATAGGTTGCCAGCAGGACATCTGAACCTGGGCCTCTAGGCTGTTGTTTAGGGGGTTAATAACCCACCACAAACCAATTATTTGTGCTTGGGTTAATTCTGGGTTGCTTAATCCCTGAATAACTCAGAATGTCCACGTTTGGGTGACATGTCCAGTGACTGTAAGCCATCCTGAGATGCCATGCACAAGGGACAGCATGTAAGAGTTTTAAATAAATAATAAATAAATTGTAAGATGTTTACAGAAAGTAGAACTGAGGGAGGCCACCAGAGGCAGTATACTCACTCTCATTTATGCCTGGCAAATTGTGTATTAATTAACCCATGATTCAGCATTACATGTGAAACAGCAAACACTTAACTTACTAGATAAATTTGGTAATATGTTCAATTTGCTCCTATCACTCAAACAAGACACTAATACATCAAATATACTGCACTTACTTATCTTCAGCAGCACTTAGGGTCAGGACTATTATATTTATACCCCACTTTTTTCCAATCAAGGAACTCAAGGCAGTTTATACAATCCCCCCTTCTCTCAATTTTTATCCTCACGACAACAAACCTGTGAGGTGGATTAGGCTAAGTCTGTGACTGGCCCAAAGTCATCCAGCAAGATCCATGGTTGAGCAGGGACTAGAACCTGGATCTCCCTAGTCCAACATTCTAACCACTTCCTGATATATCTTTATGATCAGAATTTACAATTCTACATCATGGCAGTCAGTAGTCTGTTCCACATATCACAATAACACTAAAAAAAAAAATCCCAGGGTTGTTGTGCTCAAAGAAGAGTGATATGCATTTTCAAGAGGCATCCAGTATTGAAGCTAAGTCAGCTGGTGGGGGAAGAACAGATTACTCTGTTCCTCCTCACAGCCACCTGCTGTGTTTCTGCCACAGGTGGAGAGAAGGACATGACTCATTTTTCTCTGCCCTACATAGAAGTTAAAGTTTCCTGAGCAGGGACAGAGTGATGTCTCTGCCTCTGCTCTGACAACTAGAATGGATGTGAATGGATGAAATGTGTCCCACTTTCAGTAGGAACAAAACTGATCTTAGTGAGGATCTTAACACATGCTCTCAAATCATGAGCAGTTGTGCTTTTTATTTAAAGTCTGCACAGCGGACAATTCTGGCTCAATCCATCGCCTATAAAACATTATCTCCAAGGAAATGAAGCACTTACTGGAGAAAAGGTTCTATCCCCCCTCCCTCCCTCCCCTGGTATACAGGGCTATAACCTATATTGACAATCCTGTGCAAAATACTTTAGGAAAGCATCAGTTTTCACTTTGTTATTGGCTAGAACTAACTGTTTTAAACAAATTTTGAGCAGTAAATTACATTAAATGAGAGCTCTATCTCGAATTTGAGACACAAATCTAGTTCTATTCACATAGTGTAGTTTTTAAGACTTGTGGTGCACTGCAGTGGGGATGCCAGTAGGTTTCTGAAACTCAGAGGATGACAGGCAACCTATGCAGATCCGAAGGAGCATGGAGAAGCCTTCCTGTTTCTCTTACCCTGCAGGTCAGCCAATTCTAGCCATCTATTCATGGTGTTTTGCAGGAAAGAGGCTGCAGTACCACCAGGAGACATTGCTCTTGAGATCAGAAAACCAACCAGTGTGGTTATTTCTGTGCCAGCTGTGAGAGATGGGAAGCCAATGCAACCATAGATCTTAGGATGGAGCTGTTTCCCGACTTCTGGTTTTCAAAGGCCCCTTAGTTTTATCATCTTATAGCAAACAGTTATAGAACATCTGCTTAAACCCAACTTTATTTTTAAATTCTTTTTGCAAGAGTTAATGGAACTCATGAAGCATCCAGATTACAAGTGAAAGGATGAAGACTTTGTTCTACCACAGAAATTGATTAGATCTAACTTTATAAAATGTAATGAACTGAAAAGGTGTCCACTGACTCATGTTAGGTCAACAGATTTTCCTACTCAGAACAGCAGTCAAATGGAAAAGTTTCCAAATATGCCAATAACAAAGAGAACAAAGGAAAACATACTGGAGTGAGCCTTGCTACTTCTGGATGTTCAACATAAAAGTTTTTCTCAAACTTGGGCAATTCACTCAAATCCCATTTCTTCTTACGCAAGCGTTCTCCTGGATTTCCAAATTTTTTGGGAGGAAGAGGGCTGCCAAACCTGGGGAGAGAGGAGATTTATAGTAGAAATTATTTTAAAAGTGTCTGACAAATGTACATTGAAAAACATATTTGAGTATTTTTTGAAATATTTTCCCTAGTTTTAAATATATGAATCCAACAAAGTACTGTTAAAGTAGAAAAAGTGTCACCTATTTCTTCATACAGAAAATCCATAAAATGACACAAAAGTAATATTCACTAACCTTTTGGTCATTTGCTGTGCTAAATTCATAACAAATAACAAAAGAATACATTAGAGGAACTAAAAATATTGTCTCTTAGAAGAAAGCTCAGGTAATGAAAATACTGACAACACAGGCACTAAGGAGTGACAACATAAGCACTAAGGGTGCCTATGTTGCACAAAACTTGCAGGTTTGTGCTTATCTTATGCAAGACAAAATAAGTAGTAGAGGCAATCACCAGCACCTCACCCTTATGTCTTGCATTTTCAGTAGATGGGCTTTGGACTTTATTCCATTCCAGAAAAGGTATTTCAAAGTGAGAGAGAAGACTGAAGAGGCCCCAGGGTAGATTATAGCTTTTCTTCTCCCCATTGCCTGAGGTTGTATTCATGAGGCAAGCAGCACAGTTATTTCATGCTGGCTGTGAAAGGGGTGGATTCTGGATTTCCTCCTTTGAGGTTGGAGTGCTGTCCTCAGCCTGAAAGCTGGTAGTATGAAATATCTTATGGCCTCACACATTGCCTACCAGTGTCACTGAAGACAGTTATTTAAATGTTGATTCTGTGTATTTGTTCAGTGTAGCAAAAACTAACAATAACTATTCCAAGCAATTAAATCAAAGTTTATGGAAAGTAACATTACGATACACTGTACACTAAGTTTTTTCCTAATATTATTTTCCAATTAAAGTTTAGAAACTGCACCATCCTTTATTTGTGCAGCTTTCTTCTCCCAAATGAAGCCCAAAGCAGCTAATCACATCAAATACAATTACAATAATATGACATACAACTTGTTTTTGTTTTTCTTAATTATGCAATATTGTGAGGTATTACACTGACAGTAACTTTGTAATCAAACAATCCTTTTATGGGTGGTCAAACCATAAGCTATTGAAAACATATGTGCGGGGATGCAGCTTGAACTGCAAAAAGTCATTTAAACACTAACAGTGCAATCCTGGTTTACTCAGAAGTTACACTGAATTCAATGAAGTGTACTCCAAGTAAATGTGCATAGAATTTGCAGCCAAAGACATACTTATATGCGAGTCATTCAGCTGAACATAATGGAACTTAAAGAAAAAAAATCAACAAGATTGTAACTTAGGCTGCCTACAGCAAGGAGTTTAGCAGTAATATAAGCAACAGGGGAATAAAAATATTTTGCAGTTTTGCAACACTCATGTTCAGTAAAATATTCACGTTAAGTTCTTCTTTAGCAGTTCTCCATCACAAAATAAATTACTAAAATTACCCCCAACTATCTCTGGGTTTTAGATCCCTGTAACAGCATCAACAATGAAATGTCACGTGACAGACATAAGCCTAACAATACTACATACTCTTAATACCTACAACTGCAGTCTTGCCACTATGCTCGCATGCAATCAGAACTCACTTTTTAGTTAAGACTGTACCTTTTCCACTATAGAACTACAAAAATGCTCCTGATTTAGCAGAGATATTCCACATTTTTCCGCAAGGCAATTTCTTTCATTATAGACTACAATGCTAACCAGAATTTTCTCTCTGCGTATCATTTTGAGGGTTACCAAGAAAAGAAGCTGTCAACTTCAAAATGCCTAGCAAGAGATCTATCCTGCTTCAGATTATACTATCAACAAAATTGCAATAAGAGTAATTTCTCCATGTATAAATACCAGGGATGGTTGGGACAGCTACAGCTCCACTCAACCCTTACTACTTATTTCTTTTCCAAAATGTTTAGGTCTTAGATTATTTGTATACTGTATTTCCTGTTGTTTTGCATGCCACCTTGAAAGGCAGCCTAAAAATAATTTGTTTCAAATACATTTAAAATAAATAACTTTAAAAACGTAACTCTTAACTCTGGCATAGTCCTCTAAAGGATGAACAAGCATTTTGAAGTCAATGGATTAAGTGTTATTTTTTGGGCTTCAATCATGTATTCACACACCTTGAAGTAAGTCCCACTGAACCCAAGTGGTCTTACCTCTGAGTGCTCAAGAACAGATTAAGAGTGCATTCAGACAGAGATGACTGTAGCTTTGAACATTAGCCAAACAAAATCAGTGTGCCTCATTCCTGTGATTATACTGATGATACACTGATCCCCATGCTGACAGCTTCAAATTTAAATAGACTAGCAACATTACCACTGACAGCAAAAAGCTACAGTAGAGTCAATGCAGCTACAGCAGAACCAGACATGATAAATACTGCCTGTGTTAGTACTACAACAGTTAAAGAAATTACATCTGGAATTATTTTAATTCAAAGTATCATAATATAATATCAACTGATCCCTACTTCTAAGAAAATACTGATTCAAAGCAATTTATTTTAAAGTTCCCTTGATTTCAACAGGATGTAGTTAGGACAGCAACACAAGCTCTTCAAATGACCTAAGAAGAAATTATGAGATCTGCAGCTAAATAAAGTGCTGCAGACCCTCTAATTAGGGTCCCATCCTGAAAAGGAAGCTATCAAGGCTTTGAATAGGGCAGATCCTCTTCCAATTATCGTATTGGTAAGCTAAAGCAGGTTTCAGGTGAAGCCTAATTATTCGAAGTAGCCCTTCTGTAATGTGCCTTTGCAGCTGCCGTTCAGCATCTATTTTTTATGGCTCTTGCACGAACGACATTGACTTTGGTAGGAAGCACTGCATCAGCACTGCATAAGCCAGAAGAAGGTAAACGCGATGTATGGGACCGGAAGAAAGTGAGCATGAGTGTATGAAGTCCGTGGAAGTTCCTGCCCTTGCTCATCAACACATTACGGCGAGGCCTCCTGCCCTCTAATCAACTAATGGGAAAAAAGGACATCAAGCAAACTTTGTCCTCAAGGCCTGTAGCAACCTTGTCTTCAGGCCTCGCACTTCCCTCCCCAGATCTCCACCCTCCGTGGGCCCACATTAGGCACCTCCCTGTCCGCATTTTCGCTTCCATATTGTGACGCCATCTTCAAGTCACTTAAGTATATACACCCCGCCAGTTACCAACATTTATTTTCTGGCAAACCTTGTGTGATTTTAGTAACTGCAAGATTAACATCTTAAGTGAATAGGCGAAACTTCTCTCATCGGCGCAGCGGCAGGAAAAGCGTCCCAAGTTGTACTACTTCTTTTCGCACGACGATACGAAGTCCCAAAACATCTACTACTTTTTAAAAAAGTTAGTAGTCTCAGCCCATTTTAACTTCTCCTCGTACCGCCAAATGCTGTCCATTTGTAACTCGTAATTACCAATGAATTCAGAGGCGCTTGCTCTCCAAAAAACGTCGACAAAAGACTAGCACCTCGCCCTTTTCCAATCCCGACAATTATACTGACATCCTCCCCACGTTTCCTCAACTTGCTTCCTTTACCTGAACAGCCATGAGGCAAATAGAAATTCAACGAATCGGCATTTCTCAGCACGAAAATACCGTAACGACGGAACTATCTAATTATTTGCCTGTCATATGGTAGATAAAAGGTTCACAGGAAAAACGGGAGAAAAACCCCTGTGGAAGGCCCAGTCCCCTCATTTCCTTACCCGCCGCGGTCACGGTCGCGGCCTCGATCTCCGAAGCCTCGCATCTTCCCAGGTCGAAAGAGGCTCCTGCCGCAAGACTACGTGGGCAGTAAAGCCGAAGAAAGGCGGCCCGACCTAAGAGGCCCAACCGCAACTGCTGTTGCTTTCGCCTCTCCTTTATCTCTGCGAAGACAGCTTTAGCAGCTTTGCTTCTCTGGCTAAAGAGCCGTTCAGAATCAATTTCCGGGGCCTCTAACGAGCCGACCTGAGTCAGGAATCGTTAATGCTGAAGACGAGCCCGTCTTTCTTCTCCAGCCTCCTGACACAAAATGGCCGCCGTCACCCTAGCTTGCCTCTTACGTTATCCGTCTGCCGACTGTTGCGTAAAGTACGTCCCTGAATAGCCGCGAGGGAGGAGACAATTTCCCTGCGCTTATTCTCGCAAACGGTTCGTGTACGTTGATCATCGTCCAACCAGCCGATTCAAAAGAAAGTTCTTCGTATGCGCAGTGGGGAAAGTACGAGGCTGCAGGCAGTTAGCTTTTTGCCTGCTCTTGACAGTTATCTGCACAAAGCGCCTTAAGGACAAGTCTGAAAGCCGAGCGGTGAAAAAATTACCTCCGCAGTTTCCGTAACTCTCGCTTTTTTGGCGCCGGTGTGCGTAGAAACTAGGGGAAGTAACTAAGCTACGCACACTTTGTAGTGTATAGTATTTAAAGAATAAGTCTTCCAACTGTACAGAGAAGAAGCTTGTAATACAATAATCCGTTCAGTTTTGCTGTGAAATGGAATTGTTCAGTTTTCGCCAAGAGTTACGTTCTGTTGGTGCTTCCAAATGCAAAAAGGGGTAACTAAAACAATCAAGTGGCTACAGTAATTCTCATATGAGAAAAGGTTAAAACAGGAGATACTAGTTTTGAAAAGGACAAGGGGAGAAGTGACGGATGTACAGAGTTATGCATGGCGTGCAAAAGGAGCTATTTTTCTCCCTTTCACAAATCCCTATAACCTGGGATCATCCCATGAATTGGGAAGAGACTCAGGACAGAAACAGGGCATTGATTCTTACAATATATCCTCAAACTATGGATTTTACTTCCACAACATATACTGATGGCCACGACACGGTTTCAAAGGGGAAATAAAATTCACGGAGAATGCTATCGATAGCTACAAATCCTAGGTAAATGTTACCTCCAGGATCACAAGCAGTGTGCCTAGGTCCACCAGTTGCTTGGGTGTTGCACTCATGTTCAACTTGTGGATGGTAGTTTGGTCACTGTGCAATGACCAATGGACCATTGGCCTGAACCAGCATGGTTCTTACGTTCTCTGCCTCCTAAATTTAAACTCATTTTAATATTGGGAACCTTCTAACAGGGTAGGGTGCCTTTTGATTCAAGTGAAAATCATAAACACAGCCCCGTAATAGTGAACTGCTAGACTACACAGCTGGCAGCCATTCTGTTCAATTTGTGCTTAAATAACATCTGAAGTATTATGTTGTTTGCATAGTACCTGCTGTTGCAGAGTGTTCTTCCTGTCAGGAGGAGACACAAAAATTAAGCACATTAAAAATGTACACCTTTTAAATGTAAAGTGTTCTGTTTAGGGTGTAGGACTGGGGAGGCCCAGACATTGCAATAAAGGTAAGTTGGTGGCTTCTCTTTCATCCTAACCTAACTCCTAAGGTTGTTGTGAGGATAAAATGAGTGGGAAAAGAATCTTTGAACTTGTTAGTCATTCTGAAAGAAAGTTGTGAAGAGTGGTATAAAATTGGATTAAATAAATACAGTAGCTTATTTCTGGCTGTACTGTCTGAATTCTCAGATGTGGGACAAGTTTAGGGCTACTGATAGCGGGATAAAAAAACACTCTATACGTACTCAATGATACTATTATTATACCATGCATTCTAAGCCTAAGCTCTGACATTGCAAACTAGTTTGGGAGCTAAAGCTTGGCTCACATTTAGATATAAGATGCATTTTTTTACATGTTAAATACCGTTTAAAAAAGCAAGAATCCTGAATTGTTTTCATAGATCATCTGCAATTTTCCACCATCACTGCAAAATTTTCCACCATTTTGTATGAAAGATAAATCCTTGGATTTATACACATATATGTTCATGGTATGATATTAATTCTCAAACGCTATAAGTATCTGCACTGTAATATATTAAGTGCAGTATTATAGATGGTTAAGACAAAGAACTGTGCTGTGCACTTTTTAAATACTTGCTTTAAAGTTTAGAAGGGCAACTCTGTGTATGCTAGAAGAAAAGTCTTATCATCCCAGCTAGCATGGCTGGCTGGAAAGCTGCTGAGAGCTGTGGAACTTTTCTCTGTCTAAGCATATATAGGTTTGTGCCTGAGGAAATTGTGCTGCCAATGAGATTCTGAAAACTCCAGAATATCCATGCCACTGTGAGAAAGAGGATGCTGGACTAGATAGACCATTGGTCTGATCCAGCAGGACTTTTATTAAGATTTATTAGAACTTGATTTGTTTGGACAAAATGTAATTTAAAAACACCACTTTGTTCCTGTTCAGACAAAATGAGAAACTGCAGTTAGTTTAAAACAAAAGTGGATGCTTCAGATCTCATGACTGCACTGGAGGAAGAGAAGGAGGAGCACATAAGCCCAAAACTTATACACATAATACTTCTTTTGTGTTCTGGGATGCTCAGCATGGTCTCCTGGAGAATTGCATTTTTTGAGAAAAACAGAGTGCCTCATAGTTGAATCTGCTGGTACAGAAAGAGGAGGAAAGAGTTGATGAGAATAGGCTTTTTGGTGCTTCCATTTGTTACAAATAAGCAGATGGGAGACGTATCATAATTTAATGGTTTTCGCACACAGAAAAAGTGGCAACTGTTAAATTTATTCAGAACACAAGTATGGACATTTCAATTTTGAGTAAACACACCTGTGAATATTCATTACATTTAGGGAAAAATAAACAATTACAATACCTCTGGCTCATACAATTTCTCTTTTACCATATTAGTCTATGCTTTATATGGAAGCTCCAGTGAAAAGTATACTTCAGAAATCGGGATTAATGAATACTAGTGCATTTTCAGTAACATTTCATGCTACTGTATTTCATATTCCGTGCATATGTAGTAAAATTGCAAAATATACAGGAATGGGTCCTTAAATTAGCATGTTTTTTTTTACATCAAAAGCATCCATTAAAAAAAAAAACCAGTAATACAATCTACCTAAAAGAATGGGCCCATTTACCCAATCAAATAAGGGTTGTTTTAATTACTAGCACGTACTAATTACTATTTCCCTAATTATCCATCTGGGCACAGCTTGTCAGGTCTAAACCCAGGTGGCATGGCTTGTTTGTGGGATGATACAGTCTTCAAATAACCATATAAAAGGGTTATCTGTGCATGGGTGTGTAATTTAGGGAAAAGGCACCTGACAAGTACTAGTGATGAAAATGAGCCTATGTTGTTTAAGCCTGTGTGGATTGTTTTAATCATGTAAACTGGATGAATCTCTTAAAATGTTCCGTGAAGCCTCTGTAGGCCTTGATTGTCATGTCCACTGCACACCTCTAAGCCTCTTGAAACTGCTGTGTGTTGACAAGCTTTCTGTACCAAGCCAACTGCTATCTTGCACAGAATCTGTGTTATGTAAAAAGCCCAACCATGCAAGTGCATGAGGGGGTTACTATAGACACAGAGTCAAAATGTTCAAAAATTTAAAAAGATGACAACTTCCCCAGAGATCTTGTTAATAAGCCTCAATTCTAAACATTCTGAATTTGGTACAATGAACACAAGCAACAAAGGAGCAAAGAACCAGATGCGGTTGTCCTAGTGGAAGTTCCTCAACTGTTCACCAGGGTCTGTCTAGTCTTTGGCATCTCCAATTCCTCCAGCAGTTATTGCAAATGTTGCTTCATTTTCAGGCATTTCAGGGCTAAGAAAATGCAGAAATTGACTCAATTTTCAGTATGTGCATATACTGGATGGACAAAAGTTCTATACATACATGGTATCTGCTTTTCGTTCCAAATTACAGAGGAATTGATCAAATTTGTTTTCATAGTCTTATTGATTTCCTTTTTAAATGATGCCATTTGACATAGCAGAAGCAAATGACCCTCATTTTACAAGTTTTTCATGCATGTATTTTCTTCTGTCTTAATGTCACTTCTGATCCATATCATCCAACTAACATACATGCTCAGACCTGGGGTACTTTCAAACAAAAGGATCTTACTGCTATCAATCAAAAGGTATCATCTAGCTCTTCCATCTCTTTTTCCTTCACATATTCTTCTGGTAATCAAAAAGAAGAACCAGTTGGAAAAGCTGGTGCCTTCCCAGCATGTATTCCAGCAGAACTGAAGGGAATCAGACTTGGGAAAGATTGCCTAATTTATTAATTATTCTTTAATAACCTCAGTTCAAGAATAAAATTAACCTGTAATCAAATAATCTAAGTAATATGTCTTAGTAACATGTACTATGCCACTCAACCTCTATATTACCTATCATATATCTTAGCAATACGCAACTCTCCTCTTCCCTTCCGCAAGCTAATTCTTGTTGTGGAAGCATGAGCAAGGATATGGCCCCCAACAGGTTTCTTGGGATCTGCCTGAAATCTAAATCAATCAAACAAGAACAATTAGTAAGAGCTGAAAGGCAACTGCTTTTTCTGATGGGCAACATACTTCCCTTCCTATATAGATGCTTTTGAGTTCCCATCTTGCCAATTAGGCAAGTGCTTTTGGAGCTTGATCTTGGATTCTAGGTGCTTCCGGGTGGAAGGTTCCTAGGTTAATGTTCAAAAAACATGATGTAGTTATGCATCTTTTCCTCTTTTAATGAATTTATGTAGAAAGGAAAAAGATGGAAGCAACAGCAGAAAACTGTAGGAGAGTTACACAAGACAGTGTCTACACCATGAGTAAAATTCATCTTGTTAAATGCATGAGCATAGAGGAAATCTTTAGAAGATCCTGTCTGATAGGATCTTCTATAGGATGGTTTATACCAACCCTTACCCTATGCCCATTGTGCACCATGGCTATACCACTTGTTGCCAACCTCCCCAACAGAAATGTTTCTTCACTGCATGGGAAGGGGTTCCCTGGACTCCCCAAATATAGTGATGTACACACCAAAAGCTCCTCCACATGAGGTGGCACCTTGACAGGATTAAAGAACTTCCTCACATTGAAGAGCTTTGCACACACATTAATATGCAGCTGGAGCCCTATCTAATGCCTGGCAAATTCCTGGATAGCAGAAAAGAATTTCCATGATGGGCACTAGCAGCTTGAGGGTTTGCCCATTTAACTCTGTGACATTCTCCCCAACACTTTCATGTAAATCACCCTTGTGCATCTTTCCACTTATACTAGCCCTTTTCCCAGACTTCCTTAATTTGTAGGAAAAAATAACTTTTCTTACATCATAGTTGCACCTGGGTCAGCAGTCATTTGGTTGGTCATAAACACAGCTACATTATATTCTTCAGTGAAAAATAAAGCACAAGGGAGGCAACAGATATGAGAGAAAATCCATTTTGTTAGTATTCCTGGCAAGAGTCTGTTTTATAATGAAAACTGCAGTCCATAGTACTGAAAAATCTTACTAGGATATAATGATTGTAACACTGAATTTTAGAGTTTCTTTAGATGAGGCATTTATTGTACACTCATGATTCCTCACTCTCAGTAGCTTGTGAGTGCTTCACATGACACTGTCAACTTCCAAGCTCTTTTCTGTGCTTTCCAAGCATTTACATGGCACTTTTTAGACTGAGGAAAGTGTACGCTCCTCTGAAAAAGTAGAATGAGCCAGAATGAATAGCTTGTGTATCTGCAATTCTGCCTTACTGTAGCATCACCCTGTGGTTGTATAACCGAACATATAAAAAGACAGATGAAAAAAAATGGGGGGAAAACATGTAAAGAAGCAGGATTTAATCTCACAAAATATCTAGAAACAGAAGCTCTGGTAAAGTGGCCTCATATAAAGAAGCCCTTACTCAATTATACGGAATTATCAGATTTTTACAACAAATTATTATATTAATTTATTACATTTTCATCTCCACTCTTAAATGAAGGAACTAAGAGCAACATCCATATAATTATATATGTAACCATTTAGCAGCCATCTTTTAAAACAAAAGTTGTCCCAAGGAAGCTTATAATCAATATTATACATTTAAAAAGTATATTTATGTCTGAGTGGTGATTTGAATTTAGGCAAGTAAACCTGACTCTCTATTGATAATTCCAGATTAGCTTTACTGGCAACATGTTATTTGATGAAATTGCTTGTGCTTTCAAAAGTGGTAATGGTCTCCCCACTGTGGCTTGCCTGGCACCCACCTTGTAATCTTTTGCATGCCAGGTTGAGATGACCCTTTATGCCAAGGTCTTTAAATGCAGGGCTTGAGGGGAGTACCCATCCATCACAGGCATGTTTCTTTTTACAGGGACATTCTCCATGGTATCTTTAGCTGTTTTTAATTTGTTTAATGTTTCTTTTGATAAGAGGCTACAGTATATATTGCATTGTTTATATATTATTGTAAACCACCCAGAAAGCTTCCCCTGTGAAATAAATGGAATAAATAAAACACCTATTCTTGTTTTAGAAAAATAAACTCTGTCTGAATCATTTCTTCTACCTTCTGATATTTTTTGAAGCCTTGATAACATCTGAGCAAGTTTTTGTTGCCTTTCAGCCAGCTCCCCACGACCACTGAAGTCCACACGGAACAGTGCCATAATGGAATCTATTATCTGCATGGTAATAGTAAGGACAAAGTTTATGCACAGAAGGAATTGCTTAAAAAACATGGAAGATGTACATTGAGTAACTAATATGTGTACCAGCAGTTTGAAGATGCCAGGTTCCTCATGGAATTTGGCAGCAACATAGTCAAGTAATTCCATTTGATGTTCACCTTGTGAAGAGGAATTGCCATAAAGAAAAATCAGCACCAAAAAAGGCAGTTTCAAATCAATGTGAAAGGAGGTAGAAGACAGAAAAGAAAAATTAATTACAGTGAATGGCAATATCATTTTAAGGTGCTATCCCATGTGTCTTTAAACCAGAAAAAGTTCTACTATCTTCAGCATGCCTCATCCAGCCATGCTGTATGTAGGGCACTTTTTTTAGGATGGTGCTCTTGTTGTGAAAAAAGAACTGGGGAAAGTAAAGCAACAGTTACCAAAGGTATAGGAGGCTTTTTCCTGTGTGGCATCTATTACCATTTCACAAGACAAGTCATAAGTGGTTTCATGACATTATGCTACAACCTTACTAAGCAAATTTAGTTGCTTTTCTAAACTTTGTTTCAAAGGTGACAAACTGGAAAATACTACTAAGGGAAACTAAACACTTGAAAGGTAGTGTGACACCTGGAAATTGCCCCCATTTGGCAACCAGAGTTACTTTAACATTCTGCAACATGCCATCACTAATAAAGTATATCTCTAGTTGTAAAGGCAATTATCTCTAATAAAAATGTTACTGTGCTCATCTTTTATTAAAAATGTTATAGAATCAGAATGGTAGATTTGGAAGGGGCCAGAGGGCTGTTCGGTTCAGTCCCCTGCTCGATGCAGAGCTCCACATTAAACCATTCCTCTCAGATGGCTGTCAGCTGCACCTTGAATACCTCTAGCGTGGGAAAGCCTACAACCTCCCTAGGTAATTGGTCTTATTGTTGGACTGCTCAGGAAATTTTTCCTGATATTTAGCTGGGATCTGACTTCCTGTAACGTGAAACTGTTATTCCATGTGTTGCACTCTGGATGATTGAGAAGAGATTCTGGCCTTCCTCTTTGTGACAGGCTTTCAAGTACCCCAGTCTTCTCTTCTTGAAGCTGAATATGCCCAGTTCTTTCAATCTCTTCTCACTGGGTTTTGTTTCCAGTTCCTGGATCATCCTTGTTGCCCTGCTCTGAACCCTTTCCAGCTTGTCTGCATCTTACTTACACCGTGGTGCCCAGAACTGGACACAGTACTCCAGATGAGATTATAAAACCTATTTTACCTTACTAGAATTAAAAATAAAAATAAAAATTGTGTGTATGCTTCAGAATTTGCCTATGTAACTGTAATAATGTAATGTAAAGCATTACACTTTAAGAGTTTTAAAAATATTGCTCTGTGCTCAGGCATGTAAAACTCAGCTCAAAAACTGCCTATTTATACATTTTTGTGATGAAGAAAACCTTGTACTTGCAACTGTGCTGAAATATGCACTTTTACTGTTATAGGCAAAACTCACACTACAGGGCTGATATGGTTTCAGAGGAAGGTGACATAATGGTACATCAGGAGGGTAGAGGGGATGGAATAGACTGAGGGATCATACAGATGTGTGTAAACTTTATGCTCCAATATTATTAGGTGAAAATGGGTCCATTGGAACTTTAAGTTTTATCCAACGCATTGCTTATTTGAGGTTTTCAATAAAATAACAATATATGGAATACATATAGATCATTTGTCCCAACCATTTTCAGAACAGAAAGAAAAAAGTGAAAAGTAGTAGTAGTATATTAATAATCATCTATAGAATTCATTAGAATCTTTTCTGAGTTGAGAAGAATTAAACCTTAAAGTGGGAAGGGTTCTTCACTTTGCAATCTTACTAGTATATGCCCGTGCATACAATACATTGTCAAGAACTGCATCATGGTCTGCATTGAAGCGGTCAGCAATGTCACGAAGACGGTCTGGACGACTGAAAATGCTTCTTAGTTAAGGAGTCTCTTTTCTAAATCACCTTTGAAATGTGCTGGTTTTTATATATGCAAATGAATATTCCCACCAGCAAAATTACTTGGCCCTCAATTTCTACCCCAGCAAACCTTAGACTGAAAAAATGGATACACTTCCGAACCTTTACTCTGCTTGACATAATAAAAAACATGTTTTGATTTTATTGTTAGGAGAGGCAGAATTTCCATGTAATTCTGTTAGTGTACTGCAAAAAGGATACAAGGTGTTTTCCGTGTCAATGAAGATTATCTTCCCACCAGTGTAACAGCCATCTGTTCCTGGAAGTTGGGCTGTCACTATAATGCACAATAGGAAAAAGAACAAATTATAGCAGATGCTTCAGTATAACTTGCGATCATGTGTCAAAAAAACTGGGTATCATTTGTTATTAGCAATATAAGTAATTTCAATAACCCCACTATAATTAATACATTCTTCACATTTTTCATGCATCATCATACCCTCATAACTACATTACATGTATTTATTTATTTACATGTATTTATAGGCTGCCTATAATTGCCGAGGCCTTCCTACATTAGTGGAATGTATTCTCTGCGGGGGTTATTCCTGAGCCTGGATTTGAAGATGCAGCTAGTATAGAATGCAGCAACTAGGCTGCTCAGTGAGGCATCAGCCATATTAACACTGCACCTGTTTTAAAAGAATTGTACTGACTGCCTGTTGACCAAGCCACCAAAGCCCTAACATTTTTGGAATCTGGATACCTCTATCTTTCATTCAACCTTTAAGAACTTTACAGAAGGTCTTGCTAGTTGTTCTGTGACTATCAGAATGTCACCATGAAGTATTTCAAAAGATACTTCTCAAGGACAGTGCCCCTCCTCTGGAATACTCTTCTTTGTGCAGTTTGAGAAGCAGAAAATGTGATATATTTTAAACACATCCTGATAATGTATTTGCTCACCCAGGCTGTCTCTGGCTTATAATTAATTACAGTTAATCATATGCTGATCCATCTTACTGATCCTTATATTTTGCTGATTGCACTTACTCCAGCTGAAATAACGATAGGTTTTTAAAGTATATTTTAAAATGGCATAGAAAATCTTACCTCTTCATTAAATCTTTTGCAAACAGATCTTGTATGTTTACTATTCATTTTCTTTTGACTCTCTCATTCTACTTAAATTATGAGCCCAAGGCAGGGCTTATATTGTTTACCTTGTTTAATTTGTAGCTTCTAGTTCATGGAGATGCTCTGAAAATGAACGACACTCACCTTCCCTCTTTCTCTCATTACACTGTTAATCTTTCTCTCCAATCTCACACACTTCATTACATTTACTCTGTTTCTATTCTGCCCAATAATTAGAGCTTTCTGGGCAGATTTCAAAGATTTTAAAACAAAATATTGTACATAATATAAAATCTATTTATTTACATATAGACAGACACCACACACACATATCTACCAAAGTTTAACATGAATGATAAATTGCAAGTCCTGTTCATATGCTGCTAAATTCCTCAGAGAGCCCACAGGTCTCGCTGAAGAGTTGGCTCCATAATAAGGGGCTCAACTGTTTGCAAGGTCCTCTCCCTTGTTGCCACATTCTAAGCCTCCGGTGGAAGACATGCCTGGAAGAGAGCCTTAGACAATGAGTGTGGTGCAGGTAGGTTCTGCAAGGAGAGGAGCTCTGTGAGGTATTATGATCCTGAGCTGTGCCAAAGCTTTAGGTCAAAACTAGCTACACACTTATGCACATACGCATTTAGTCCACAGACGGTTGTTGTTGTTGTTGATGATGATGATGATGATAGTTTTAATATAGTATTATGTTATACTTATTAAGTATTATTAAGTGCCATTTCCCACTCCCACATGTATACTTGCAAATCGATTATATTTTATGCAACTCTCCCTGCTTAAAATATGTCTACATTAAATTTTATGCAGATTATTTTTATCAGTTATTTTAAAGGCCAGATACATGATTTTTAACACAGCAAATACAATTATCTGAATGATTGTGTTATACATACCACAAAGAGTATGGGCAAGTTGTGTTTTGCCAGTTCGGAATTCTAATGTAGAACAAAAAAAATTAGAAAAATTGAGATGTGGTAAATTAGTGAGTAATTAAAGTGCTCACCTAAACCATTTAAAGAATATGACATGCCACAAACCCATGAAAATTGTGTAACTATAGCTACTAGCAAGGGCTACAGGATGAGATACTGCACTTAACAGATTTCAGGGCAGTGGAGGGAAGCAGCAAACATAGACTGGGGTAGAGGGAGAAAGGTAGTCAAAAGGAACTGGTGGCTAAAGGAGCTTTCCCGGCCAAGTATAATTGGTAGTATGTGAGACAGCCTCTTTTGGGGGGAGACAAAAATGTGTTCAGTAGCAAGGAAAGCCCAGAGAGGGAATATCAGTATGCTGAACTAAATAGCAGACAGACAGTCTTGCTTTCTTGTTATATATAATTAATATAATTAATTCCATTTGGCAATCTGGTGCCAGGGATGGAGTATGTTTCTCTCAGTAGCTGGCAACTCCTGCAGACCAATGGCAAAAAGGGTGCTGATGTAGGGACCAAGGAAATTAGGAATTTTGCTCCAAAGAAACCTAGGATGCATGCCAGGAGCCAGTAGGAGAACCAGGGTGTCACAAGTCATGAAAAGCTGCAGTGACCCAGTCATTTGCTATGTTAGCAACCAACCAACCAACCCATAGTGGCTTATTCTGAGTGTGGCTTACCATGACCTGCAAACTTGTCCAAAGAATAATTTGCTTCTTAACACACACACACAGCCATGTTGCAGGACATTATTTCACTAACCTCCAAATGCTTCTGTGATTGCCATACTTTCAATCCCACCACCCAGGAGTTTACTAGAATAACAGATAGGAGGACAGAAAGGAAAGTTAGCCAAAATAGGCCACAAAGCCAAGAAAACAATGCAGTTAAACTGTTGCGCTAAAAACAATATGCTTGTGTTGAAAGACCTTGTCTTTGATCTTTTTGGTAGCTTGTGAGGAACAGCCTGGGTTAGTTGACTCCTGCCCTACATGATTAAAAAAAGACTGAAATACTGTCTTTTACAGATACCAAATACATTCTGTAGAGTTAACTGTATGATAGCTAATGTGACTGAATAGCCTATACTAAGAAGAAAGATGCTCACATCCCACTTAAAGGGCTGGTTCAGATATCCATTTGAACTTTCATGAACACTATGGAACTGGCATGAATAACTCCCCTCTTTCTGTTTGCATTCTGCTTCCTTTCCTTACTTCCTAGATCATGGCAACTATAGTTTGTCATAGCATCAACATTTCGCAAACTGTGGCTATTGCAAACCATGTAATAGTTTACTTATAAACCATAGATAGAAAGCCACTTCAAACTATAGTTTCCATTTTTTATTTAAAGGTAAACTATGACTTGTGTTAAGCATAGTTTGCCCTATTCAGATGTCATAACATGCAGAGGTACCACAAACAAGGATGTGAGGGAAGGAATCTGAGCATATAAGCCCTTGTTTGACCATGCCACCTGACTTGGATAATACACAGAATATTTTGCCTTCAGTAAGAATATTTCTCAACCACTAATTTTTAGAATTGCTTTAGAAAGAGCTAGCTTCTTGTTGTGATTGTGGTAGTCCCACTGGCACAACAGCTGGAGGGTGGCAGCAGCACAAGATTCTTCCCATCTTCTCCCACTGTTCTATTGCTCTTATTGGTACTAATATAGCAATTGTGCCTTAAGTGCCTAATGGTGTAATACTATGCATGTTTAGACAGAAAAATGGCCTACAACTCTCCACATGGTCCAGCAAGCATTTCTAAACATGGATAGGACTGCACCTTATGCATGTTAAATGTGTTTATTTATTTATTTGGGAAACTTGTATGCCACCCCATTCACATAATCCTCGGGGTGCCTTCCAACAAATAAATAACAATACAAAAATATAAAAATTGGATACATCCAGGCAATAAATAAAACCAATAAATAAACAATTAATTAAAATAACATTTAAATAAAAAGTTCTTGGCCTGGCGCTGAAAAACAAATAATGACGGCGCCAGGCAGATCTCTCTGGGGAGCGCATTCCATAAGTGGGGTGCCACCACAGAGAAGGCCCTCCTCCAGGTACTTACCCTCCTAATATCTTTCACGGAAGGTTCCCGGAGAAGGGTCTCTGCCGCCGATCTTAGAGGGCAGGAGGGCAAGTATGGATGCAGGTGCTCCTTTACATACCCAGATCCCAAGCCATTTAGGGCTTTATAGGTAATCACCAGCACCTTGAATTGGGCCCGGACTTCAATGGGGAGCCAGTGAAGCTGTCGAAGGACTGGGGTTATATGAGAACAATGCCCACTCCCCGTCAGCAACCTGTCAGCTCTATTTTGCACCATCTGAAGTATCTGGACCGTCTTCAAGGGCAGCCCCACGAAATGGGACTTATAACCAAAGCATACAAACTAGCTACAAAAAAAGTGCAGGAATTAATGCCTTGTTTTTTGTTCACTAACTCAAATTCTTGACTTCCAGTGGGGATATGGAAAACCATTTTCCGCTTCTCACTATACTCCAAAGCAGTTAGAAATCCTGGTTCCTGTGGGGAACATAAAACAATTTAAACAGATTATTTTTACTTGGTATGACCCTTGAGGAATGACACTGTGATTTAAAAATTATCAAGTCATTTGTACAGTGCAAAATGCACTGGATATAATAAACAATATTTATATAACATCCTTGATCCAAATGCCTTATTTTCTTCACCAAAGTCAGTTGTTAAGATATGAAGCACAATTCTCTCCAAGCTTACTCAGAAGCAAATCACATGTCTAGTAGCTCTTATTTTCAAGTAAGTTTGTAGCCTGAATATATTGAAAAAAAATCTCAACAATTTTGCTGTTGCTTATTTTTTGAGAGTTAATGGCAGAAACTTTTATACAGTTGCAGCCTGATCAGAGACCTAATTCAGATTACTGATGTAGTGAGTTAACTTCATGTTTACTGCATGTTTTCACCATGATATTTACATATGGCAAATGCACAAAGTTATGACTCCATGCAGCATGCTTCCAAAATTAATAAGCAGTGAAATAAAATTAATAAGCACTATGCAGTTGCCTCAGATGTTACAGGTTCATCACAGAAAGACAGAGCAGGTAAATTCCAGAATCCATGATGACGGTGTTTGTGCAACATGCAAAACATGATCTCTGAACCCAGCACATTTCCTGCAGGATGGCTCCAATAAGCCCCAGCAATAGCAGAGTAACCAGCTCCCCACTGATGCTGGGGCTTTCATGGCTGTAGAGAGAAAAGGAAACCCTGGTGCTACCCTGGTTTTCTCTGGAATATCTGCAAGAGCAATGAGTGGGAAGTAGGTGCCTCCAGAGCTACATTATCCCAACTCATCTGTTGGGGACATTGGAAACCCCATTGAAAATATGCCACACTGTAAAACTTTCTATGCAGTGTGGCTTATAGTATCATGTGAAGCCACCCAATACATTACAAGAATGCAACTGTACGAGCGTAAATTTTACAAATCAGTTTTATATATCGTAATGATGCCAGTGGGAAGGCCCAGAAGATAATTCAGCTGGATAATCTTAACTGTGAGCAATAGATTTTGCTTACTATAAGTTTGTTGGCTGCCTCTTTTATCTTCTCCACTTTGGCCTCTGAAAGTCCTTTCACATTGCATAGTGCCCGCCTTGTTGTCATCTGAATTCCTTTGATTGTACAAATTCCCACTGCTTTCAGCTTTTTAATATCAGCCACATTCTGTGAAGGATGTACATATGATGCTCATAAAATGCTCTTGATGGTCATAAAAAGTATCCAAAAGATAAAGATTAATCAACTCAATCTTGGTTTCCACTAGAATAAGGAGCATTTATGCAGGATTTCTGATGCTGGTATGGTTAATTATTTACTGAATTTTCATAGTTTGTCCATCCACAAAGTTGGCCATGTATCTTCTTTTACAGAAGATAGTTATTTATTTCAAGAGTTGCCAGATGGCCATCCTTTGGTTTGAAGGCATTCTCTACTTGAAGGGCTGTCTGTCCAAATTTAGATCGAAGATAAAGAATCATGAGTAGGGGGAGCTGAGCCTTGAACATGTCCATAAACAGTACATGGAAAGCAGACTAAACAGGTACCCAGATCACCAGGTGACAATTTCCTATGCTAAATAATAATTTCTAATTTTGCAACAATATAAATTGGGTTCCCTTTTTGCTGATGCTTTTCCTCTTTTTGTGGGGCAATTCATGAGTAGCCATCCTACCATCACCATGTTTCCTGGGCAGTTCGCAGAAGAAAGAATAAAATACAATGCTAAAATACTAAATAAATGATTAAACGCAACAAAGATAATAAATTGCAGTATATTTTTCTTTGTTAGTAGAGCAAAAATAAAACCCCTTAGCAGCTCAAATTATACAGTTAATTTAATCATTGACCACCCAGTTTAATTTATTGTTGTTCAAACACAAGTTGTTTAAAGCTCTTCATGAATAAGAAGGTCTTCACCAGATATCAAAAACCATAGAACCATGAAGTCTAAACATTGTACATTTTTCATCCTGAAACTCAACATACGATAACTTCTTCATAACAGAGTCACCACTCCAACAGATACTTAGGGATAATAAAAGGAAAAAGGATTTAGAAGTCTAAGTATGAAAGCAGTGCTAACCAACATGGGATAGAATGGAGGATGGTGAGGTCTCCCCAAATCACAATTCAACAACCTTTAGGTTAGATAATATATTAGTCACAGCTGGGTACTTGCACAATACAAGGTGTGTCTTCCATAGTGAATGGGTAGGCAACCTGGTACCCTCCGGATATTTTGGAATGTATCTTCAATTAAGTCCCACCCAGCATGGCTAATGGTCAGGGCTTCTGGGAGTTGCAAACCAAAACACTTAGAATGCTACCAGGTTGAATGTATTGGGCCAGGGTAGGAGAACTGTTTTTATATCAGGAGCCACATATCTTGGTGGTAATGTGCTGGAGGTCACATGGTAGTGGGGGATGGAGCCAAAGCCAATGGTAGCGAGGCCAGAGGCAAAACTGAGCAGAACCAACCCCTCTTCTTGCTCTCCCCTTCTCTGCCGCCTTTTCCTTTCTCTATCTTTTTTATTCCTCCCCTTTTTCTTATTTCTAGTTCTCTTCTTCCTTGCTCAGCAAATGTGGGACAAACAGATCACGTTTGCCATAAATCTGAACTGTTTGCTTGCAGGGAACTTTTGAAATTAGAGGAAGGTCTGTGGATTGCTCATTGCTGTAGTAGACAGATATAGATGGAAATATATCTTTGAATGTGCTTACAATTCCTTGCTTCTGTAGAAGATCAATATCCTGGAAAAAGGATTCCTAAAGGGATGCAAAACCAATAATAACCAGTATTTTGTTATTTGAATATTCATCACTCCTAGTTCAATTAATAATGTTACCAGTTCTACCATTTTAAAGTTGTTTTTAAAAATTATTAATATTGTATATGAATATTGTATGTATTATTTCACATGCATCTGAATATACAAATCTAATTAGTTTAAGAATGAACCAGCCATCCTGTGGCTTTTAAAATTATTATCTTATAGAATCTTCTCAAGGAATAAAACGATGAAAGAAGCTGAGAACCACTATTTAACTTATTTTATTTGTTTATTTATTAGAGTTATATCCTGTCTTTTCCTTTTTTAAAAAAAAAACTCAAAGTGGCTTCCATCAGTCTCTCCTGCAGTTTTCAATCTTATCCCTACAATAACAACCTTGTGAGGTAGTTTGGGCTGAGAGTCTATGACTGGCCCAAAGTCACCCAGTTGGCTCCATGGCTAAGCAGGGACTAGAACACAATTCAGCTGAGTCCCAGAGCTGCACTCTTAACCAGTACACCACACTGTCTCTTTGCATTAACTGTGCATCATACCTCATCATCTTGGTATCCTAGTTCTTCTTGTACAACTTGATCATCCATAGATTTCATTGTGACAGAAGAGGTAATAACATTTCAGTCAATACTGTGAAGAACAATTAGGTAATTTTAAAGAATACAAAGTAACAAGCCATGTAACACTGGAGCATGAACCTTGTGTTGCTGCTATAGGATTGCTTCCATTATTTCTACTATAGCTTGGCCTATAAGGGACTGTGTAGGCTTAAGAAATGCATTATTCAAACTGAAAAGCATTTCACCCTGAGAAATAGAAATATTACCTATTGTTAGGGTAAGTGAGGTTTGGAATTGGCCTTGATCCACATAATTTCCAGACAGAACACAGGGAAATTAAGGTATTGATCAAAAAGTCCTTTCCAAACAAAGGGGTACAATAAATCTTTCCTCATCCATGACTTGATTGTGGATGAGGGGGCCTGACCTGGCTTGCATAACAGAGACCTGGGCGAGGGGGGGGATGTCGGGATGTCGTCCTCTCTCAAATGTGCCCGCCCAGGTATCTGGTTCAGCACCATCCACGCCTGGAGGGGAGGGGAGGGGGTTCGCTTTGGTTTACCGAGCCTCCATCTCCCTCACGGGACTTCCAGTTCCTTCGAGGCCAGGGCTGGAGTGCATCTACTTGGTGTTGGGTGACCGAGACAGATTGGGGATTCTGTTGGTGTACCATGCACCCTTCTGCCCAACAGTCTCCCTGCCTGAGCTGACGGAGACTGTCTCGGACCTGGTGTTGAGGACACCCAGGATGTTGGTCCTGGGGGACTTCAATCTCCATGCCGAGTCTGGTCTGACCGGGGCGGCTCAGGACTTCATGGCCGTCATGGAGGCCATGAAGTCCTGAG